TTAAAATCATTTTAGACACATACTAGAATATGTCGGCCCATGTCGTGCGGTGTTCCGCATGGGTCTGTTCTTGGACCCCTCCTATGGAACATAAGGTACAACTGGGCCTTTCGAACTGATTTTCCCCCCAGGCTGGGTGTAATTTGTTACGCCAATGACACATTGGTCACAGCCCGGGGGGGGGGGGGGGGGGGTAACTTTCAAGAGGCGGCACGCCTGTCCACCAGGGGAGTCTCTCTGGTGGTCGAGCGCATTGAGGCGCTGGACTTACGCTTACTTACTTTTTTTTATGGTATAAGGTTGCAAACGGGCAGACGGGTCACCTGATGGTAAGCAACTACCGTCCCCCATGGACACCTGCAACTCAAAAGTCACAAGTGCGTTGCTGCCCTTGGAGTCCCTCCCGCTCGAGTCAGCGGGAGGGGGGATTTGGGCTCCGGTAACCTCACTCAGTCAGTGAAAGGCAACGTAACAATTGCTTAACACCGGTTTTCTGTGAGGCCGTCACTCCGAACGAGCCGGCCCATTCGTGCCAAGCATGGCTGTGCCACGGTAAGGATAGATAAGTCTGGATAAGGCTGAGGCCCTCTTATTTCATGGGTGCCGTCGTGGTCCCTGGCGCCTCAATCGTTGTCAACTCGGTCCAGAAGCCTAGATGAATGACGAGACGGGTTTTCCCCTCGACCGCCGTAAGGGCCAGTCGCGAAGAGGCGACGTCAGCGTGTGTCGGACGTCGTCTATAGAGTATAGAGAATATATAGTCTATAGAGAATGTACCCGAAGGTAGTGCCCGCGCCGTTGCGAAGGCGCTAGGAGGGGTCCGGATGTCTTAATAACAGCAGTTCCCGGATCCCTCCTATTACAGGCGCAGAGTGGCACACCGGGTCCTTTTAGTCGGTCCGATTCCGACACACCAACTAACCCCGGTGGAATAACAGCCCGAGGGGGTTGTTAACACGTAAAAAAAAGGTAGGTATACAAGATTTACACATATGTATTTATATATATCTAGTCTATGAAGGTTGGCATATCAGGATTGTCACGCGCGCATTATATTTGAATAGCCTTTTCGTAGAAACCGACCGAAGTACTCTGATCATTTAATAATAACGCCATAATTCCTTTTTTTTATTGAAAGATCTTGAGAAAAAAATATGTGGGAAAAGAAAAGAAGGTACAATAAATAAATAATCACAAAGTTCTTGTAATGTAGATTGGGAACAAATTATACCATCTAATTAAATCACCGCGTGGTGTTGAAGCAAAACTAATTAAAATTGTTATTACACTATTATTTATTACTTATTAAATCTAATTTGACATTATTTTATATTGATTTTGTTGACTTAATATACTTTCTTACCTTACTTTTGGCTCTTCTAAATTCAGTGGCTGAATGTGGGTTGGTAAGATAGGGACATAAAAGAATCACCTTTATTAATAAATTGTCCCAATTCAACTCTCATTTCCTGTGTTTCTATGACACTTGAATTATGAGAAGTTGATTTTTATAGATTTTGATAGTAGACACTGGTAAAATCTGTCTGTGCCTAGTTAGATAACAGATGATAGCTCTTGACCTATTTTCGATTATTTAGAAAAAAATGTATCGGTCAATTTAAATGAGCCGCATTTTTCAATGCTAATGAATGTATGAATCTAATCAATCACTTACTTTTTTTATTTTAATTCATGCCATGATAGCGTGATTATGTTAAGATAATTTTAAAAGCTTATGATATGTTCAGAACACTGTTTAAATACAAAATACAATTATTGAAACGATAATATAAAGTAGTATGAAGTAGCATCAGCATTAGTACTACTTCTACAAGTCTTTATAAAAGCATCAATACTTTTACACGAAACGAAGAAATTTCTAAAGCAAATATAATAAAATATGTAATGCAAAAAAGTTATTATTATTATAATATGCTCTGAATATTATAAATGCATTGAACTTCGTTAGAATATAGTAATTAGTCCGGGAGTTACAACTTTTCTTCTGAAACTCAATAAAACGACAATGGAGAATCGAGCACAACTAAATTCGGGCATTATACACATGTATTTTTATTTTTTTACACAATAAAATTTAAATAGATAAAAAAAAAATCTACAATAAAATAAAATAGAATGATCCCTTCTTTTATACTAATTAGAAAGAGTCCGCTAATAAAGAGTTCTAATTTGTGTACACTTTCTCTTGTCTTCGAAGAAAAGAAACAATATGACAAGACATACAGCCCTTCCGTACTAGCAGTAGGTTACGTGGAATTAATGACACAAATTAATGCCGACAAGTTTATTTAGTGACACAACAGCATATAATGGAACACGAAGGTCTAAAAAGTGTTAAACGTTGTAAGAAGACAGAAATCTATGAATTCCATACACGTAAAAATCAATATCAATTATGCATCATGCAAGATCTAGCAGTAACTGGCAAAAGTGACTTCAATCCTATAAATAAACATCTGATGACAATTGTATTATTCATAGCGCATTGATATAGCTAAACAAACAAGTAATCTTGGTACCTTGATACTCTTCACTCTTTTATTTATAAGTTAGTTATTTTTTAAATAGTTTTAATTTCGAGGTTGGGGAAATAAGAGGTTATAAAGAATTCTTCACATGTAGGTGTACAAACTAAAATAAACAATATAAAAGACCTTTGATCAGAGTTCTTCCAAAATAACAAAAGACCACGTGGATTTTTATAAAACTATGGCAGCAAATAAGTCAGCAGCAAAGTCACGTGTGTGATGCCAAAACAAAGAGTTGCAGGAATTATTCGAATTTAAATTTATTTATATTTCAAATGATAATTTTAATTTTTACACAATTACCGATACGTACATATCCGTATTTCAAAATCTGTAATTTACTTAATGACCGTAAAACAGGAAAACATAAACTAATATTACGTGAATATCCTTTAATGTATATTATTTTACTTTTAAATTGCAGTTGTAATATCAAATTTTCGTTTCAATTGTGTTTTCAGTTCTGTAGTCTTACGTCAGTAAAGTTTGTCCAAAGTCTTTATCTAACTCTCTTTATCCTTGATCTCTTAAATATAAGCCTGGGTAAATAAATATAAAAAACTTCAAGGTTAGACTGGTGTAGTTTAAAGAAATTCTTGTCATTGTCTATAATCCTAGGCACCGTGCATTTTCCAGCATGTATATCTCCACTTCTTAAACTTTCCTCCTGCGTTAGCAATCTAACAAACACATTTTCATATTTATATTAGAAATGTTAACTAACCATTTTTTATAATATTCTTGTAAATTTAAACGGTAGTTTTTTTAAATGGTGTTGTAATACTAAGTTTAACCAAATTGATGACGATTACGAAGGCGTAAACTATTTCTCTGGACTAAGTGTAAAATAGAAAACATCATAATATAATTGTAAACGCTACATTTATATTATATAAGAATTAAACTTACTCTTTACGCTATAATCAAATAGTTAACTCATGCTAGGAGTTAACTTTGCATTACGAGACGATTTCTAAATTTACCAGCTTAGCAGGATGTAAATCCCTACGGATCTCCGGCTCCTTGGGGACGTAAGAGCCAGGAGTATGTGGTGTTTCCATTAAAACCATTGCGAAGTCGACGTCGAGATTCAGGCGCGCTACTCTGGCGAGGACAAGGACCATGTGATTTCAGTTCGTCCCCGAATCGACGCCTGACCTGACCTGGGCCTATCCCGGGAGAAACTGGAAAATTACCCTGTCAATCACTTCGATAACAACGTAGCGGCTCGATTGCGATCAGGCCGCCACACTATCCTCTATCGCAGTTCCACAAACAGTTCCAGATTAATCTGGACAACGTGTATGCATATTTTAATAATAGTTAGCCGTAAACGCGTAACAAACAAACTTACATACTACGTTGGCGTTGAAAATATAAGTTAAGATTAAAATTGAAATATAATAACTAATATACCAATTTTTTTCACATTTTACAAAAAAAATGGACTCAATTATGAAATGAAGTCTCGAAATCACGAGTTTGTTCGTGGGCTGTCTCGTGTTATTTGAACTAGAGACTGTCAAGATTTTCCAAAACTGTACTTAGGTAATATGTACACCTAGTATAAGAACTAGGTATGGCAATGATTCAGTATCAGTCAGGCAGTGAAATCTCGCTAGTTCTTGTGATAATTGTGTAAATATAGTAAATAGGCGTGCTTGGCAACGTTCTCGTTGCAGTGTAATGTCAATTTTCTAACAAATAAAAATCGACTTTTAATTTGTCTCTGCCCATCTCGTTACTTAGTGAGAACCATGATAGTTATAATTTTATTTTTATTTTCCTCCATATCGATACTCATTTTATTGCATGCTTAGTATTCTTGAATAAATTATACTATTATGACCTCATAGACACGTGGCTATAAACAAGCAGTTTTGTCTTTATTGTAGGACATGTATATTGCAAAATAGATACTCCCTGATTGGTAGTTACGATTCTGGTGGTAAACCACAAAACCAATCCTTTATTTGTTCTTACATAACAAAAATCTGGAAAGGATTCTACATTCCTGTCTTTATAGATTACCATATAGTCATAAGGATTTGTTTTTAACATCATTACAGAATTTTCATTGGTGACTCAATGCTGTGAGATCACAATGTACGTAAAATGAAAACAGTACAGTAAAAAAGAGTTCTATTCATTTTATATGCTCAGAGCCTGATTAATAGAATACTTATATAGTTGTAACAGTAAGATAGCAATAGTCATTTTATAGTAATTAAACGCCTGTGCTCTGCTCTATTGTTATGTAGCTCGCAAATAGACTGGAGACACGACAAGTCGCAGACATTATTCAGAACATACCGTTAGGAAAGTAATTACACCTTCAGAGTGATAAAATGTACTTGCCAGAAGCTAATTCTCAAGGTTCAATAGACTATACGGGAACGTGGTAGTTTATAAAACAAAGTTGTGTAACAATTTACACTCCACTCAACTTACCATGAGTTCTTTAGGTCCTTTAGTCCAGAAAAACTGATGCTATTAGATCGATTGAGTCGTCTGCCTAAACTCCAAAAGCGTATCTTGTTATGATTATCCTCCTCGTGGAAAGGGTTCAAATGCTCAGGGTAGTCGTAGATGGAGACCGTCTTACGGGGAGCAGTCGCCACAGCCATAATTGCACCTCCAGGAAATTCACTTTTTAGGTTTTACATAATACACAGTACGATAGGCGTCAACCACTTACTTTATCAGTTATCGGACTGGTGAGTTATCAAAAACTGATAGCACGTTTTATCGCGGCAAGATAATTACGGTGTTTGTTTTTAGTGCGGCGCTGTGGAGCGATAGATCGGCGGGGTGTCGCGGCGCTCAGCGTCGCGAGCCGGGGCACACTAGCTAGCCCGCGGCAGCGGCCGTCGTCACCGTCTGAGCGCTCGCCATCCTCTTATCACATCACTGCCGGTGCCGGCCAGTAAGAATGCTGAGTCCAAGCGCAGAGCGTGTTGCGGATCCGTGACGCGTGTTTCACCGCTTAACTAAATATCAGCAAAAAAGAAAGTTGCTTCCAATGCAATAATTACCTCTTAGTTTTCAAATTAATGAGCCCATTACTATATAATGTGTTATTTGTCAAAATTGCATCACTCGAGTATTTCTACCTCACATTAATAAATTTTCTATTGTGAATGCTGCCCACAGAAACTAGTGCGTGTTTAATATTAGGTATCCGCTACATTTCCGTTCGATATAATACTAAGTTTGATCGTAATTGTAATTTCATTTATACATTTTCTAGGAATCGAAGCGATTTTAATCGATGTGTTTTGCGTGGTAAGATAATATTATAAGTGTGTGATAGTAAAGAACAACATGATGTTAAATGTGTGTACGTAGTAAGAAGCTAAACATAATGCCACATGATCACATTTTGACACAGTAGTTACGACCTGTATTACCGTAAACATTAAAGTATATTTACCAACGATGACGCCATTCATGCAAGCAAGAGCCGCGTCAGTCGCATAAATATGAAGGTCGAGTCGACTTCGGAAAATTAAATAACGTCTTGCAATATTTATTTTACATGAAGAGACTCTGAAGAATCGGTATCTACAAAATGATTACATAGGTTAGGATAAAAAGGGGGTTAACCTGGAACTTTGAACTAAATGGAATAATACAACAAATTAAAATACAATTAGTAGAAAACAACATGTATTTTGAGTGTGTTTGAGTTTGGTAATAATTAGTAATTTTACAGAAATTACATTTTAATATAATATATTTATATATATGTTGGAGAATATTAGCAGCATAGAGCCCGCAAGTCCTAAAACCTAAAGGAACAACCAGATAATACGAGAAAAAAGAGATAAACAGAAGAAACAACAATACAATTCTTTTAAAATACTTATTTAACGACCTATTTTGCAATGAATATTACAAACTAGCTTTCGCACGCAGTTTCACACACTCCAATAACTAGCCATCAAATCAGGTTAAGGATACATAACTTTGACATATGTAGTTGTACAGCAGTTTTTGTTAATAACAAAGATAGGTATTAATAACTAGTAATACATATAAACAAATACTCTATAATTTCCGCATTTATAAAATTTGTAATATAAGCGGCATTAATAAAAAAAAGTACCGAGTATTATACTCGGTACTTTTTTTTCGTAAAAAATGAACAAAGAAGTATACGAATAGGCATCGATGGCACATGTAAGTATATTATGTAGAATGTAGTATGAACATTTTTGTCTCCATATACAATTTAGGTATTTATTGTTTTTAAACTAACCTACTTATCTATATTTATACTGCATACTGTGCTTTATTTAAGTCGTAGTACCTATTTGATAGAGGGGGTGTGAGTCAGGCAGCACGCAATCACGAAGAGGCCACAACAAAAATACCACCTCCTTTGTACTGCGTATTGATCCACTATGTTACTAAATCGCAGTAGACCGATTCGAATTTCTTAAGTATGATAAAAGTAAATTAATCACTTATAGTTTCATAGCAACGGCAAAAATTAGATTGGTTAGATTATAATAATGTATACCGGATTGAAATAACTTAAAATAACACCAAAATTATTAATAATTTCAATTTGTCTTTCCTGACCAACCCAGGGTTAAATTACGTGTGATAAAAAACTTAATTCACGTACAATAAAATTCGTTTCTAAGGAGAGGCCTATGTCCAGCAGTGGACTATTAAAGGCTGTTGATGTGATGATGTGTGATGTGAAAATTCGTTTTATGTTTAATTTTCTCTAAAAACATTAGTAAGCTAATTTTAACCAATGTTAAGCGAAACGCGGCATTATTTCTTATACTCATGTTTCTCAGTTGTTGGTTTTTGATCAGTTTATCTATGTGCCCACCTTTCTAAGAAGTTGACGCAGAGTACGACCTTGGTGATGAGACCTGTTATACTCAATTAATGGGAATTTTTAGGTTGGTTTCAACTCAATGGACGCAGCTGCTTCGTGAAGTAATTGTGACTTTTTCGCAAAAGATAGAATAAGGGCCTAGAACACAGGTATATCTAGACTACGGTTCTACAGGTCTGGCCATCGGGGTGGCTTTTTTTAGTGGAAGCACCGCATACTCCTGGCTCCGACATCCCCAAAGAGCCGGAGATCCGAAGGAATTTTCTACCCCGCCAACAAACAAAAAAAACAGGACTGCTACAAATAATAGGACAGGGCCTCAACTGTTTTTGCTCAAGTTTCTCTACTAAGCTAAAGAATGACTACTCGTATATCTGCGCCCTCGAAAACCAGCATCAGTTACGGAAACTTTGGGGTTAGGTGTTTTGACCGCAATATTATCACTTATAATAGTTTGGAACTCTACACGTAAAAAATAAAACTTTTTTTTATATAAGGCTATTTGTTAACCACATCAATGATAATTAAGATATCGTAATTGGCTGTAAAAACAAGAACATTTATACTATTTTTTTTTGTAATTTACATAATAGAATTTCACATTTGTATTGATATGCATTTAATAAATAAATCTTAAAAGATTTCTTAATTATTATTGTTGTGGTCAAAACGACATCAATAATAATTAAGATATCTTAATTGGCTGTAAAAACAAGAACATTTAAACAATTATTTTTGTTATTTACATAATAGAATTTCCCACTTTTATTTATATGCATTAAATAAATAAATAAATATTTCGAACATCTGCCACACAACGCTACCTACATAGTTTCAAACTTAACAGAGCTTATACTATGATGGTAACTTTGACTTATAGAATACTTAAAAACTTTTTTTGTAAATACACACATATTATACATATATAACATCCAAACTCCGAAACCAATATTTGCAGATCATACAAACATTTGGTCCGCCCACACATACGCTACCACTGCACTACCGAGGCAGTCGAATAAAATTTAACAACAGTTTACACACTAGTAAATGATAGTTGAGTGCAACAAACTAACTGTGAATAATTATTGTACTTAAGTAAAATGTTACGCAGTGACCCAGAGTCCACAATACATATGAATTACAGTTAGTCATCGTCCACCTTTGTTCTTTGTAATAATTACTTGCAATATGAACAAAAGTGACTGTATACAAGAAAGCATCTTAAATGCTTATTATCTCATTGACACACTTCAGAGAGCTGCTCTACAGGGAGGATTTTTAGAAGCAATTATGGGCCCTTTAAAAAATAAAGAACAGTAAAAAGAGTATTTTAGGTGAATAATATAACACGATGCATTTTACGATTATTGTGTTTAAATTATAAATTATTTCAATAGTTTAAGATACAGCTATTCCTGTTCTAGTTTTTAAATCATTGGATAATTTTTGCACAGAGTATTTGTAAAGTAAACAGTATGAAAATAAGGAAGTGAGTTCCAACAATGCATTGTGTCTAATGTAGACAATTAATTGTTGAAGACACTCGTTAGATAGCGGTGCGGTTAGGTATTTTCTTGTTCAATTAAAGTTGCCTATGGTTTATTGTGGTGAACTGTCAGAATTGCACCGGCTTTAACAATACTTATAATACTATACTATACTACTTATAGAATGTTTGAAGGTAGTGAAGAAGGTAATCCTTTAGGTTGGTTATCATGGCTGTGCAATAAGTATCTCTGTAAATGTATCTCACTTTCGTAAATATAACTTGTGTTCTTACTACGATGGAGTACAAATTAAAGTTATAAGGAGACGATTGTATTAAAGTCTTGACGGCAAATCTTACGCCACTGATTTCACCAACCGTATCATCATCAGCCTTTAATAGTCTACTGCTGGACATAGGCATCTCCTTAGAAAAAATGTTTTGGCAGGCCAGACGGGTGGTATAGGGTTTGTGTCAAGTTTTCTTTCTCTTTGCAGTTGCATGAATATTCTTAAATGGGACACTTCCGTTACCACATGGACAAACGATTAACCATATCGCCCATTTCGAGTCATAGGATTCGTAGGTTAAAACCTTAACATTCCTTTTGTATTAATCGCTGTTAAGCAAAATATTCTGTAAATGTGAGAAGCATGCCGCTTCTCTTTAACTTAATACTACACCATAATTATTGTATTATCATATCAACATCAACGACGATTATAATTAATTGTATGATGTTCTTATTTATTTTTATAAATACAATATTGTTAACATTTCATTTTACACTGAGAACAAAGAATAAAGAACCTTTTGTAACTGCATTTTTATCATTTTAGTTGCGTTGCCCTGGATTCCTGAGAAGTCTCAGTTATAACAAAACCTTAAAAAAAATTAAATAGTTAAAAAATGTATTTCAGATATGTGCATCTTAATCTAAGAATATGTTACTTACTTTAAAACGTTTCGTGTTACAAAACATAAATACTCCTTTTGGATTTTATGAATATACAATTTGCGAGCACGAAATACTTTTTCAACTTTACAAACTCTTTATAACCACAGACCAAAGGCACAGTGGCAGTTGAATGTGTAAATCTCTGCGCAATAGATATCGGTGTGTATCGTGTGTATCGTCAGCTACATGCATACTCAATAAGTCGATGCCGAACACTTATGTATCCGGTTCAGGTGAACCGTTGCTATATTCAATAATTACATTAAATAAAAATGACTTCAATACGCATACCTACTTCGTGAGAAATTTTAAGAAACTGTATTCCCCATTCCTCAATTTTCAACCTTAGGGGTAAATGGACCGAAAGTGGTGAATTTCAAATAAAAACAAATTTTTCAAATCGGTTCATAAATGACAGAGTTTTGAGGTAGCAAACGTGGTACAAATTTATACACCCGAATCAAGCCTGCTCCTTTTTGGTTATAAAAGGAGTTACATGTTATTTCAAAATCATCCACGCACTAGGGCGCCAAATAAATGTTTATGAGGTCACATAGTTTGCTTAAATAATTACATGAAAAATATACATGATTTTAGAATTTAAATAACAAAATAAGGAGACCTAATACCTAATGAACGCAATCAGTTAAAAGTTGCGCACTACTCCCCACTATATTGTGAATAACGTATAAGCTTTCCATAGTTAGTATACAACAAAGTATATATTATGGTCCCTGCTCCGCTCCTACGGTTCACAGCCTGATATTACATAGTTTATTATCCTTTCTCAATGAAATAGAGTATTCAATACATGAATAATTTTTGAAACTGATTGGTAGTTTTAGATATTAGTGTGCTTAAAAAATTCAACCAATGAGATCTTTAGCTTTGAGAAAGTGAATTCACACGGTTTCGACAAATTTAAAGCGAATCGTAAATTCAGACCGCGAAATTTCGAGTTTACTATGTGTATGCAATATTTCCGCTTTTATTAGGTGGTGTATGAGTAAAGAAAGTGACGGTCAATAACTATTTACGGTTTGTCGTAATAGGTTTCTATTAGAGATATATAGAAAGTTAATAGTAACATTGTTTAGTCTTGGACTTCCACCTAAGCTAAGCAACGGCTTAATATGAGGGAAGCATTAGGCTTCCCTCATATTAAGCCGTTGCCTGCACGGTAGGTTACCTGCACACTGGCTTTTCGTTCCGCTAGTAGACCAGGCCTACACACTATACACACTAGTACCTACATAACTTAGAGCAATTAAATTTTGTTATATGAAGCCATCCCTAAATTCGTCATAAGAGATAAAATTTATGCGATAGAAAGAGAGACAACTTCTAGGTGAATATAACTTCAAGTAATTAACGCTTTGCAACCTGAATTGCACTTTATTTGTTCAGCACAAGTGTCGTCATCATTTATTTAAATGATTTTGAGGAGTGAGTTTTCTGTACCTTTACTATTATGTATTCCGTGCCGCCTGCGGGTAGTGTGACGTTGCCATACCGCTAGTAAACTACGAGCAGGTTAATGATGTATGACAATGAACTATCGATCGATTACAAGCCCTGAAAAAAAGTGCCTTCAATAGAATGTGTGGTACGGCCTATGTATTAACTAAATAATTTAGTATTGAATTGTCTCCTTTTATTTCGCTTGTGGTTATTAAAAGTGCTGGATTACAAAACGTCAGCGCCTTATCAAAGAAAAAGACAAGGCCTTGTTCCTGCAAGAGACGGGAATAAATTGGACCCAGTTAAATTATTATTCTACTGTTCAATAGGAATGATAAATGTACTACAGGTTTCATCAAGTCACAACAACTCTTACAAATATTTTCACATCAATTCGTTAATTAAATGTTCACATATTTTGTAAATCTTAGACATATTTTTCTAAATAGGCTTGTGTCATCTTCCGTCTAAGTATTACACATAGTTATTTTAGCATATTTAAACACAGATTGAGCTAAACTAGTTGACCCATTGAAATATTTTTGCTTTCTTTTTTGTGTATTCACAAAAATGTAGACATAAATTCGACTCTTTCTTTTAAATAATGATACACACTATTTATGCATCATGAACCTCCTTGTCAGCACTCATCATCTAGGCAAAAATGGTTGGAACTAATTCCTTTTTGTAATATTCGTCATGATGATCTTAAAAACAGCTATAATTCTTTTAGGATTTACCACCACATTTATGTTGTGATTTCTTTTGTCTAAGTTCTTTGTATATCTTGGAATTAGGCAGATGTGTAAAATGATTTGTATCGGCAATGTCGGGCAGAGGAAGCGACGACTTATCTCGGAAATTGCAGGGAGGATGCGCCACAACAGACGACATTGAGGTCCAATCAGACCGAGCTCAGCTAAATAGTGAATGCGCAATTCTTTGTCTGTATAAAAGCCACATTTACCTTTCTGGAATACTCTGCCGGTGAAATACATAAATAAATGATCAAATATTCTCGTATGTAAATAAGACCGAGATAAATTTATTATTGTTGTTGAAATGTGGTATGTTGATCCCAAATTGCCCTTTTTATGATTAGCTGTATTATGAAGCCGTCACCAGAAATTTTAAGTAAACAAGATCTAATCGTGTTAAGACCGGTGTGCTATATTTACAGTTAAATAAGATAAATCCTTAATTCTAAAATGAAAAGGACACACTTAGATTGGCCGTAAATGACTGTTATTTACATTCATGAGAGTGACGCTAAGTATTACCTAACTGTTTAAGCAGATGAATGTAACATTGTTTACATACTTGTAGGTAATTATCCAGAGATCTTTTAATATTTTATTAAATAGAATTCCTTATTTTATCATTCTGTAAAAGTAAACCTTGACGAAGGAATAATCGACCTACTTTTGTAAAAAAGCGGCCACGTTAAGTTAAAACGTTTCCATGGTAACGAGTGAATTATTACTGAAAGTATTTGAAGAGTAGTGTTTCTTACTCACAGTATTGTTGTAACTTTACCATAGTTTTATAATTATATATATGTTATTATGGCGATTCCAACACCTCCCAATATTTCGGCTCGTACATTTTACGGTTTGCGAACAGACATTCAGTAAGTAAATACCAGAACAGTATACATACCAAAATGAAATTAAATTTAAAATACCTATAGACTTCGCAGACTGTAGTGTTTGGAATGTTATCTTGGTTCTCAGAATGGTTATCGTCATTTACTTAGTCAATAATTGAAATTGAATGATGTAATATATCACCCATGTTGATGCTATCAGGAGGGCTTCTCTTTTCTTATGTTCAATAGAAACGCCCATTTCAATTAAAAATATTCAACAAATAGCATCTTGCAAATTTTTTAAAAAGCCAAATTTTGCATGCCGTAATGACATAGTATATTTGTGAACTATAAATGTATGGCCTTCTCTACATTAATGTTCTGGGTCTCAGACAAGATAAGTAACATCCATAACATTATTTGAGTAACAAAACTTAACTTAACTTCTTAGATTTACCTATAATTTATTTTTAATAAAGTACAGGCATCCAATTTTTCTTGGATCTTAAGTTTGTACAGTAAAGATTTGCAATTTAAAACTCGTATGACTATTATCATCTGGCATGAATTGGTGTGCATTACGAAACCGAAAACATAAAATCACATCATTGTTGTTGCGCAGATATAATGCTCATTACATAACGGAGTCGGAGATTGTTTATCCTGCCGGAGGTGTCATTGTTATTCATAACCATCTGCAGAAAAAACAAAAGTTTATAAGACTGCAAGATAAACGAAAACCTATCAAGTCATTGGTTCTAGCACCTAATCGGTAAGTGTCCGTAATATTCGTGAAACATTAAAATTTAATTGTTATATGCCGTGCTTCGTATCAGGCTTGCTAACAAGTTTTCTCTTCTGTGTACGTTGCAGGCGATGGCTAGCTTTAAACGAAATAGCCGAAGAATTGGGACAGAAACCAATAATAACAGTGTACGACTTAACTACATACAAGAGGCGTAAAATATTAACAGTACCCTTTGAAAACTGTTTTTCAAAGGAATTTGCATGTATTCAATTTACATTTGACTCTAAATATCTTGTCGCAATAACTGGGGAGCCTGATTGGTATTTATATTTTTACAATTGGGACAAGGGAAAGGTGGAGAGTCATGCAAAGGCGCAGAACCCAAGTGGTCAGGGAATCGTCGAAAGTGTAAGAAATTGTTAAACAATTTAAATAAGGCCATTTTATTCATTACTAGCTGAGACCCGCGGTGTTACCCGCGTTTGTTGTTATAACCGCGGGCAACGCCGCGGGGCGAAGCTAGTCTAAAAAAAGTAGCCTAAGTTACTCCTTATGTCATCAACTATCTGCCAGTGAAAGTCCCGTCGAAATCGGTCCAGCCGTTCCAGAGATTACCCGGAACAAACAGACAGACAGACAGACAGACAAAAATTGTAAAAAATGATATTTTGGCATATGTACCGTGTAAACATACATATGCATTTAGTAAAAAGCGGTTATTTTTAATATTACAAACAGACACTCCAATTTTATTTATTTGTATAAATTTACCACTTGGATGGTGTAGTGGTTTAAGCGGTCACAACACTGGACAACACTTTATGTGATTCACAAACTGTTGTTCTAGATCTGGGTGCTCTGTGTCCGTTCCATAAATGTTTTTGAAGTCCCCTGCGACACAGGATATATTTCTAGTGCGGGAGATGTCTATTAATTAATTAATTAATTAATGTCTTTCAATTATTAAAGGTACAATGTAATCCTGCGGATTCTACATTGGTTGTAATAACTGGGCCATACACCTTTCGAATAATGAATGTTTCTGAAACGGTTTGGCGTCAGTGGGGATGGTGTAAGGCTGAAAATGTAAGTGTATAAATAATTATATCCATCACGTATAGGCTCACTTCCTTAAGACATCCTATACTCACATTCCTATTACGGATTTTTAAGCAGCAGGCTTGTTAAACTTGACTTGTTTCTACAAATGTGTGTAGAACATTTATTCAAAAATTAAACTTACACAGTTCAAATCCCAGTAGTTGTATAACAAATTAAATACTCATTTTAAACAAGTCTTCCTGTTTTCTACCTCTCTTCCCTGCCAGAAACCCAGTTTGGCCCTTTCACGTATCCATTCTGTTACGCATTGTATGCAGGCAGTGAATCAGGTCTGAGAGTTAACATTATTCAGTTTCCTGAGCGCTTCTTTTTTTTCTAAAAATTTAAATCGCCAGTAGTACGATGTAACCAGAATTGAGCACTTATATTACAGGTCGCACAATGATTTTATCCTCGTACACCGAGTAAGTAATAAAAAACACTAGATTTTACAGACTCTTAACTACGAAATTGGTTTGTTCCCTGTGTGGTTAGATCAACATAACTACCTGCATGTGGCTAACGCAGGACCGAATACTGTTCGGTACAGACAACGGGGTCATCATGATGGTGGAAAATGGCGAACTTCGGCAAAACTGTATCTTTCAAGCCCTTGATGTCATGGAAATGTCATTAAAAAAAGTAGATGAGTAAGTACATACTGTCCGTGTGGTGACGGATGAAGAATACGGAGTGTCACCACCCCTATTCATCCCGTGGGTGTCGTAAGAGTCGACTAAGGGTCGATATATTATAACTCACCTGCAATAAATAAATTAAAAAGTACTAAGTTGTATTGGTGGATTTCAGAGCTGCTAGAGCCGCTAGTTACGTATTTGTAGTTAAAAATGCTGGCCATTTCGTAGATGTCAGGATAAAAAAATCACACGGTCATTTGTTCCTTGTCTCGGTGTAATTTATCTATTATATGTATGTATTTGACTGCACGGATGGCGTAGTGGTTTAAGCGGTCGCCACGCTGCTACCTACTACGTCGAGTGTTGTGGGTTCAAACCCCACACGGGACGACACTTTGTGTTTTCCACAAATTGTTGTTCTGAGTCTGGGTGTTCTTTGTGTTCGTTTCATGTATGTTTGTAAAGTACCCCGCGACACAGGATGTATTCCTAATGCGGGAGTTGTCTTTTTAAAAATAAATAAAATAAAAATAAATAAATTTAAAAATATATAAGTATGTTTATCAGCAGTCTGGTTACCATAGCACAGGCTCTGTCTAGTTTGGAACCAGACGGCAGTGTGTGAGATATATTATTATTATTTTACTGATCTGAAAAGTCTACAGATAAGTTGACGCAACACAACAATATTTTTTATAGTGTTGGGGACAAACGAGTAGGCCGGTCACCCGATGGTAACCCTTCCTATTGCCGCCCAATGATAATCACAACCCTAGTGCGTTGCTGCCCTTCCTGCTGAAGCATGGATCACCCACGACACGATTCATTATTACTAGACATGTCAAAGGACCTTTCTTTTTGTCACTTGTAAAAATTTAAGAACCTAGTACCTAACAATTTTCTACGTGTTGGTTGGAATGGAATGGCATAGTACAGTCTCTGCAACCTAATAATGGTTCGTGCGTATAAGTATTACACAGTTGCACGATACTTTTCAGACAGTTTAGACACTGGTAATCTGATTCTAACAAATAAACAGGGCAGCAGAGGCAGAAGGTGACAAAGCAAGTACTTCAAGTAAACAAGAGACAGGTAGCATATCGGGTACCGAAGAAGAAAGCTATGCTGTCACAAACTTGGTAAATTTTCCCAAAGGTGAGTGAAAAAGCCCAAGGTCCCAAGCAAATAATTCTAATATTGAACATAGCCGTATGTGACGCTAAAAGGCCAAAGTTATGAATTTCAAAGTCAGTTGGAGCTGGAAAGGGAATGTTTTGTAAATATGAGAAGCTAAACATGTGTATACCTAATCTGAACTATTTTTGTTTAGGTTTTGTCTATGCTTGCGGGCCGGGATATGTACACATGTTCGAAAAGGAAACGCCTCATCACTGGAGAAAGAGGAACGTGTATAGAATTTCAAGGAAATCTTATAAGTAAGATATCATTGTGCTTTATAATAGCAGTAAAAACTCGTTTGTGATTAACAGTTATGAACATGTTTATATGGGCAAAATATTTCAGGATGTTGAAGATCATGTTAATCATCCATAATTATCAAATTCCTTCCATAGCAAATGTTGTGGGCCAAATCCTGTTGTAATAGTTTTATTGCTCTAATGATCGAAGGTTCTGAATCACTTAAATAAGAGGCGGTCAAATTCACAAACTGCTGCCACTGTTCTTAGCAGAATTCACTATTAGATATCTTAAATTGTTTTTTTCCAAAGGCACACACGGGAGTATCCTGTTTGGTCAAATCTTGACAGTATTGAGCACATCGCGGTAGACCCAAACCAAGAAACCTTGCTCATAACGACACAAAGGAAACAGTTATACACTGTCAAGTTATTTGGTCAGCATATGTTACAGGTATTGTTATACATATGCATATATATATGTAGGTATGCTGTAGTACCCACGTCATTACCTCAATACGCAATGCAATGCAGACGGATAAAGGTCACCTTCGTTGATCAAAGTCCAAAACTCAACATTGGAATATATTAAAGCTGTAGTGGTTATGATGTATGTACATTATTAGTATTTATAGCTACTAGAGTAAAACATATTTTTAATAGGTATGGTATGGCATGATGTGCTAAACACGATACGGCCAATCTGATGATGAGTTATTTTTCGAATAGAACATTCACCTTAGTTTTTAGCTGTATCTACAAGAAGTTAGATTGCTTGAGCTGGTAAAACAATCACTGGGAGAATTTAGGAAAACTTCCGTTCATTTAAAGACACACAAAGTCGTTTTGGCTCCAGTCTTCTTCAGACTATTTTGAATAAACTGACGTGTATCATCCCAAAGAAGTACTGATGTTGGTTAGTTAGTTTGACAGATATTTATTAAACTCATTACAATTTTATTTCTAAATTATTTTAAGGAACTTAACAATCATTGAAATTCAAGTTTGAACTTAGGCGAAATGAAAAATGACATACGCTAGATTTCTGACTTGAGTCGTTTATAATGATGATATAAATATTTATTAAACTTTAATATATATATTTATTAAAATTTAATAATAATTGTAGCCAAATTGCATTTTGATTGAATTGAATTCGAATTAAACTCTTTTGGATTTGCTGTTAAACATCTTTAGTAGCTGATTGTACTTGGAGGAACTTATTGCAGTTTAACATACAGCCACACTAAAAAACGCTAAGGTTGTTGTTTTGTTAATTATTTTAGGTGTCTCCATTCGGAAGCGTTCAAGTTGGCTACAGGCAAATGAGGCTTTACGTCGAAACGGATTTGTCGTATTAAACCATTTATTCATGTTAGAGGGAATGTTTTTATTCGATATTCATTAATGATTATCGCTAAAAAATTGCTTTATCGTAACAATTTTTATATATATATATATATATATATATATATATATATATATATATATATATATATATATATATATATATATATACACATATATACGAGTAAATATGTATAAGATAAAATGCATTCTTTTAGAATCCAGAAATAGCCTTTGCTGAGCTCGGACCAGCAATGCATTATGGAAAAATTAACTCATTATCCATGTGTGCTTGGAAACCAATATTCATGACTTCGGGAGAACAAGATAAGAGTATCAGAATTTGGAATTACATGACAGATGATGTAGAAATGATCAAATTGTATCAAGAGGAGATTCACTGCGTGTCTCTGCACCCGACTGGTACTGACTTGGTGAAATGGTATAATATGATAACGTATCCAGTTAAATATTAGCCAATAGAATATCATAACCATCCGTAAGGTGAATTGAGGAGTAATGATTGACGATTATTATTTATAATTATTACTTCGACCTTTTTCAGGTTTATTCGCGATCGTTGGGTTTTCCGACAAACTTCGGTTCATGGTGGTGTTGATAGATGATTTTGAAGTGATGCGAGAGTTTCCTATAAGAAATTGTAAACGAGCGAAGTTTAGTAGTAACGGGCACACATTTGCGGCAGTCAACGGCCAAGTTATTCAAGTATTTTCATCAGTGTCTTTTCACAATGTATTTAATTTGAAAGGTCATAACGGCAAGGTAAATAGTAGAACTTTAGCACGTTTTTTAATTTTAAATTAACAAGATTTCTTAATGATAATTTGTGATTTATATCTTAGATAACTTCCTTAGCGTGGTCAGCAAACGATTTAACTCTTGTATCGTGCGGCACGGAAGGGGCCGTATACGAATGGAGCATGTCTACTGGCCAACGTATTGGAGAAATTATATTAAAAACTAACCAGTTTAACGCATGTGCAGTAAACAGGTAAATAAATATATCATCTTTTACATAAAATTTTAAAGTTGATTTCAATCAATTAGTTAAATGTTACAGCATCGGGAAGACAACATACGGAGTGGGTACTGACGGTGAAATAAAAGAGATTGGTTCCAATACGATAAGAAGAAATTTGCCCTTAATAAACTGTGGACTTGATACAATCGTGTTGTCTCGTTCAGACTTGATGCTGTTTATCACGGGTGGTGATGGTGGCGTCACGACCGTACAACTACCATTATTGGATAAGGCTGTTTTTAACGAATTTCATATGCATAACACAAATGTAACAGCAATTGCATTATCGTATGATGACCAAACCTTGGTTTCTGTTGCTGAAGATTCATCCATTTGTCTATGGAGGTTGACAAATGCGGACGGTAGAGCCATAGCATTAGATAAGGACTTTGCATATTCTAAAGAAATATTAATAAGCAAGAAAGATTTGACGGAAAAAATTAATACAATAAACGTTAGTAAGAACTTTATTTAGATTCCTAATAAGATTATTTTTCTTCAATAGTATCAGGTTTTAGCACGATGTCTTTTGTGTGCAGTTCTCTGATTTCGTATTAAGTAGTTCCATTTTAGTGAAGAGAACGAATTAAACTAAATAAATAATAATTGTATTAAGAAATTGTATTAATCTGTTAATGTACAGCTGTTAAGTACGCGAATGAGTGAACTGGAAACCGAACATACATATCAGCTACGGCAAGCTGAAGCGACACAAGCAGAAAAACTTAAAGAAGTTCATGAAGGTTACTGCGCCGCTATTGAGGAGTTAAAGGAGAAGAACGAAGTATGTGTTTTATTGCAAAATATTTCTGTAGTTGTATACTATGAGGTAACAAATTGTGACGTCACAATTCGCTATTTATAAAACTTTAATGTTTACGATAAAAAATTAAGATAGAAGATAAGGTAAGTAAGGCAGGTGAGATAGAATTACAAATAAACTTTTTCAATAATATGTACCTGACCTTTTCTTATTGGTCTGTGAATTTACATATACTTAATTAATATGACGGGAACCTAGACTGGTTAAAAAGTAATTAACAGTCGCCATGAAATTTTATTTCAGTAGAAATAGACTAAATGTAACCAACATCTCATATTATTATTATATTTTCCTATAGAATATGGAAAACGAGCATACGCACGAAATAGGCATGATTCAACAAGATATTGCCAAATTGCGTTCAGGCCATGAAAGAACTTTGCAAACCTTAGAAGCGGACTTCAATATCAGACTAATTAGCGAGTATGACAGATACCAGGTACGATATGCTGTAATATATTGCACACAAAGCTTTTACATAAAAGCAATTTTAGATATACATCATACATAAAAATCTTTCTCTTTTAAGGAAAGTTACATAGGGTAACATGAGAACCTCACTTTACCCAATGTAACTTTTCTTGTCTTTCATTAAGAAAACAAAAAATACTTTATTTTACGCCAGCCGAATCCCTTAACAAAAGTTAAAAATAGTCAAACCGATTGTTTTGTTTGTTATTTAGTGCCGAGCGTCGAGAAAAAAAATAAAAACAATACTTTTCGCTATCATTGACAGAGATTTATTTTTATAATGTAAATACAGTTATTTTTGGCCAGTTATGTCCCGACTTTCTAATCGCCTCTCTAATAACAGGACGTACGGGTAGGAACTCGGCTACAACCCCCTGGCCTCTTCGAGCTACTGCAGCCTGAGGCCCGTTTTCCTATCCCAGACTTGTCTGAGGTGTCCCTTAAAACAGCTACCTTCCCTACTGTTTCTTTTACTTTCGCTTATCCCGTCTTATCTTTATCGTCTGATGAGTACATTCCCTAGGGTAAAGGTCAAAAGAAACTAACCAAAACCTTTGCAATGATACACATCACGACGACTTCCAAACATAATTTGGGAATAAGACTGGAGGTCACTAGGCAAATTTCTGTTGGTAACACAAAAAAATTAATATTGGTCAATTAACTTTTTGACCAGAGCCTAGAAGATAAAACTGCAAGGATGCGAAAGGATTATGAGCAACGACTTGAAGACTTAGCAGAGAGCAAAAGACTCGCTTTAAGGGAAATGAACAAAATGTTTGAAGCAAAATTAGAAGAAAAGGATCTTACGTTGCAAGAGGTGTGTACCTTTTGCTACGAATTTGTAATTATATATCTTACTGATTTTTATTATTTTCAAGAGGTCTAACCGTCAACCGTCAACCTTCAACCAATTTTAATTGAAATAGTAGTTATTCTTTTTTACAATACTAACAAACCAACAAGCAAGAAAAAGGGTGACCCGATGGTAAACAGTCATCGTTGCCTGTATGCACTTTCAATGTGTCAATTCTTCACCTATCCCCAAGAAGCTTTGGTCACCCAATGAATCGGCAAAGCCACACAATGCTAGTATAATAATTTTAAACTATATACTTAGTTACCATAACTTTACAGCCAGAAAGTACACAAGTAGTCGGCCTGCTTCAATTCTAGTAGCAATCTAGTTTTGAGAAAAACAAGAGTGTGTTGTTTGTCTGGTAGTCTATTTTAAGACCTTATATTTGCTAGATCTCTATTAAATTAAAATATCTGGCATGACCTACCCATAGCTGCAAGAACAAGCAGACATGGAAAAACGAGAACACGAGAACATAAAAAGCTCAATAGAAGAAGACGCAGACCGTGAAATAATTGAAATTCGTACTGCTTATGAAGTACAGTTAAAAGAAGAAAAAGATGCTAACGTGAGACTTAAGGGAGAAACTGGCCTAATGAAGAAAAAACTTATTACTGCTAACAAGGATATTGATGAATTCAAACATCAAATTTTACAGTTAAAAGGTACTTAGATAATATTTTATTTTAAGATCATAATAATATAATTATTTTAACACAAATGACTAGGATATTTCTTGCGTGTATCAGAAAATAATTTCTGTTTCTAGCTGAACATAAACAATTTCAAAAAGTTATCTCAACCCTGGAACGTGACGTAGCTGATTTAAAGAAAGAAATTGGTGAAAGGGACGGCACCATACAAGACAAAGAAAAGCGAATATACGAATTGAAGAGAAAAAAACAGGAACTTGAAAAATATAAGTTCGTGTTGAACTTTAAAATAACAGAACTAAAAAATCAGGTAATTCATATTTCCTCACATTACTTACAAATGAATAAATTTAAATAAAATTACCTACTGAACGGATACTCGTTATACTATAAAATGTGTAGATTGAGCCAAAAGAGCGATACATACGAGAATTAAGACATCAAATTGATGACATGGAGAACGAAGAATTAAAACTACTAAATGTGAAACATGATCTTGGTACAGTTACATTCATGTTTTACTAGTACAACAATTAGAGTGGGCTAAATTAGAGTGGGCTAAAATAGGAAAGAAGTTACAGCTGTATAAATCGCAAATACTTTCCTTTGTTAAAACAGATAGATCCATTAGAACGCGAAATAAAAGCACAAAAAGTACGAATACTTGAATTGGAAGTGTCTTTGGAAACTCTTCTAAAGAAAAAAGACTATCGCGGTAAAAACATTTATGTTATCAGTTCAGTTGTAATTTTTTTCGCCGATCACGTAGTAGAAAAATGGTATAGCGATAATATGATCTGTAATAAGTAGTAGTGATTCGTTTGATTATTTCCACATATGTATTATGTATGTTTATTTAATTGTTATGAAACTTGCTTGCTTAGTGCATTACGCAGTGCTTATAGCCACATGATATTGCAAAGTAAATGTAGAATTTATTATATGCACTATCATTATAGTCGAGTTGCAAAACTTTTTGAATAAATAGTGTTAATCATTTTTCTTTATATTTTTATATATTTCAGAACTTAAAATTGCACAGCTTAATGAGAAGTTACTGTCTGCTAAGAAGGATTTTATAGCCGAAGCGGAGAGAAATTTAACACTGAAAAGTACATTAAAGAAAATTAAAATTGATTTACATAATATGACAGCAGAGTTTCAAGACCCAACTAAGTTAAAGTTGGCAGTAAAAGTAAGTACTTAGGTAACATAAATAAAAATAACTTACCTGGGTTCAATACTTTTAAATTCATGAAAGATGTCCAAACTGTATGAAATAGAATGAAAAATTGACTCGTATATCTATGATTGTCTCTAATACTAGTTGTCGTGAATGTTATTGACAAACATTATTTAATTATGGGCATACGGTTTTACCTACTTCTGTATTTCGATAATGGCCAAAAAGATACAGACATTCAATCCATGTTTTGAAGAACGAGCATTATCTATTTGAACGACCTCAATACCAAAAAAAAAACAGTGTACCTACGGTTAAAAATTAAAAACGAAGTTCTGTAATACGTATTAGACTTTCGTTGCTCGAAAGTAAGACTAACAATACCTTCGGGCTGACTTCCACAATCACCATTCTCACCTATATGCCGTGGGTAAGTAGAACACTAATAAACAGTGCTCTCAACATATGCGATCTACAATATCTGTAAAATCAAATGGAACACCTACGTCGCGTATTATAAGATACTTAACGAATATCGGTGAGGGGGAATTTACTTGGGTAAGTTTACTTGTTAATCAGAGAACCAAGTTTTTCTACATTATATACGCAGAATAAGTTATAAAATTGGATTTATATTAGAACGCAACTATGGTATCAAGATGAATTTCGTTCCACTAAGACGTCGGTTATTCTTTATATATCCTGCCTGCCTGGATCGGCCCCCTGATCCGCCTGGTAGGTATAGTTATACTAGGGCACAGGCCCCGTGACTATTGTTCGAGCTACATAGGAGAGACTTCTCCTAGCATCACAACTAGGCTACAGCAACATGCTGTGTGAAGGATATGAACTGTTACAGGTCGTCTATCTCTACAGAGAAGCCGGACATAGGTTACTCACCACACACGTTTCGACCGTATTGCCAAAATACGTGGAGCAACCCACCCCTCCCCCCCTTCCTGTTGCTCGCTAACCTCACATTGCAGCGCGTCATTATTCTGTGGTAAAGACAAGCGGATTTTTTTTTGAAAAGACAATCTGCATTAGGAATATATCCTGTGTCGCAGGAGACTTTATAAACATACATGAAACAGACACAAAGAACACCCAGACGCAGAACAACAATTTGTGGATCACACAAAGTGTCGTCCTATGTGAGTATCGGACCCACAACACTCAGCGTAGTAGTAAGCGGCGTGGCGACCGCATAAACCACTAAGCCATCCGTGCAGTCGTATTTCTGGGCTATGATTTTAAATTGCGCGCCTACTATCGAAATGTGGAGTCAAAATGAAGAAAAGGAAAACGATGATTATAATCATGTAATTGCGTTGTGTTTAAAGGGATATCGGATGGACCTGTTGATCTGACTTACTATTCTGACTGCTAACCAAGAGGCTGTGGATTCGATTTCGACCCAGGAAAATTGTGTGATGAGCACTATCATTTGTTCTGTGCCTGCGTGTAATTTATCTTTAATATTGTAACGATCCGGGACTTCGACAAACAAAAGTTGGCGATTAATTACCAAAATTAACACGTATTTATAAACACACACTTTTACAAACAATGACTTAACTAAATAACTCGAAAGTCGTACTATAAAATCGCTTCGATATTATTCCGCTGTCTCGTGAAACAATACTCGCTCGTAAGGCCAACACGCCTGAATGCCTGAGTCTAAATGCGGAAACCGAAGCCCACAACCAATACCAATACCAATACCAAGGCCAACACGCTCCGCTTTTATACGGCTATCGAAATAACTAGAATAATCTCTAGGATTCGATAGAGCGTCCCAGACAGACCCTCATACATTATAAAGAATCTACCAAGTTCTATCAGCTATACTCTTCCGATATTCGACACTAGATAGCGCAGCAAGTATGCGCTGCCCTTCAGATTCCATACGACTCTCGATTGTTCACGAAGTAACTACACAATACAAGAACCATTTAGTCCTGTAGCGCAACAATATTTATATATTTACAAATATATAAGTACTTACGTATATCAGCAGTCTGGTTACCATACTACAGGCTCTACTTAGTTTAGTATCAGACAGTGTGTGAGATGTGTGAGGTTAAAATTATTATTAATCTTATTTTTGTCTTAAATATGAATTAAATTTCTGCAGAGTCTATTTCACAAATATGTGGAGGACATAGACTTCGTACGTAGTCGCCTAGCGGATGATGAAGCAGTTCGTGAGTTCAACCGCCAACGTGATCATCTCGAGAAACAGGTCGCTGCATTAAAGCAGCAGTTATCGAAGTCTCTAGGTGGATCTAAGAGCGACATCGGCAAGATTATGGATGTTAGTAACTGTCCTATACTAATTTATATTCTATATACATTAACTTGAAAAACAAGTACAACCTTCAGTTACTATACACCCATAAACCAATTATTAGTTTTTCAATCAAATTAAGATTATTGCTTAAATATCTATTATTACTTATACTACATTTGACCACTCAGGTGATATAAAAAGGTTTTCAGAATAACTTTCTATACTTACTGTTTGACAAATCGACTATTGTAAATAGTATTTCGATATGAAAAATCATAGCTTATTTAAATATTTGGAACTTCAACGCTTAAAAAAAAAGTTTAAAAATAGTAGCATAATAGAAAACAAAATAAACTTATAAAAGTAACTTATTTACAGGAAAATTGTACGTTATTGACCGAGATAAACAACCTACGAACAGAGCTTAAATCCACACGCGCACGTTGCTTCCAAATGGAATCAATTCTGGGACTCTCTGCCCGCTACATACCACCAGCTACGGCCCGCGCTAAACTTAACCATGTAACAGAAGACAGAGAGAACCTTGACGAGAAGTTCAAGCAGAAACTAGACGTATGTAAAATTATAGTGAAGCTAGTGATCCAAAAATGTATACTTGATTTTCTATGAGGTTCCCTATAGCTTTTCTATAGATTAATGACACGTTCTAAACTTACGTAAGAGACCCTCACAGAAGTAAAATTATTTCTAATCTTTATCATCTCCTTAACTTTTCCTAAAGATTTACTCTTCTAAATAACGTATAGCATCCCGTCTCGAGTAGAGGCAGTTACGTCGTTATGTCGATGCGAGAAAAAAGATGTTTTGAAGACGGTAACGAAAAATAAAACTTTTTTTAAACTTGTACACTTTTGTTAGGTACGCATATCCATGCAATAAGATTCATACTTTTTTTTAGGAACGAGATGAATATATTGGAGCTTTGAAAGAAGAAAATGAGCGTCTTTTGGGTAAAATGCAATGTATTGAAGAACCTCAAAAAGACACGGCAGAAAAAGAATAAACGTGTGCTAGATAGATTGTAATACGATTTAATATTTAAATAAAATGTAATTGAAGCAAAATATAGTATTTTGCATTTATTTATCATTTTAGAAATAGTACCTATTAGAATCATCTTACCTATACTAATATTTATGTTATATAATATTATAAAGCTGAAGAGATTGTTTGTTTGGTTGAAGCGCTAATCTCAGAAACTACTGGTCCGATTTGATAAATTATTTGTGTGTTATATATCCCATTTATCGAGGAAGGCTACCATCACGCTACGACCAATAGGAGCGGAGTATCAATGTAAAATGTCGCAAAAACGTGTTGCGTGCGCTGCCGGTTTTTGCAGCTGTTCGATATTTTTTTTCAAAAACTTACCACGAACTGATTTTTCCAAAGTATTTTTTTTTTCATTATTATTTATGATGTACATTGTGCAAGGCGGGTGAGATACCATGTCGCGCATCTCAGACACGTGAAACGTCTTCCTACGGGACGGCGAATGTTCAGCGAACTACTTTTTGATTTTTTTTTGCGATATATCGTCGTAAAATCATTTTTAAATAATTAAGTTAGTAATAAGTTGTGTTTTATTTTGTTATCTCTGTTAATTTCAATATCTTTCTTAACTAAGTAAATGGGGACCTATACCCTTTCCAATCGTTTATTTAACTTTTGACAGCTCTAATACTTAATCAAATAGTGATACCCTGACCCGTTACCGATTCGATTTCTTTTATCGATCTATTTTATTCATGAAGAAGTTTTAATCGATTTAACACACTCATTATTTTATCGATTTTTAAACGGCAACACCGGACGCGACGGCGACTCGCGACGCCATTTTGTTGTCAGTGTTAATCCAGATTTCCATACGTCGAGTTGAGTATTTATATTCCTCCGTATTGATTTATTTGTTAATCCTCACGTTTGGTTGAGTTGAGCGTATCGTTCCTCCCTTCGTTACTGTCAAAATGCCAAAAAATAAAGTACTTAAAGGACAAACAAGAGAGTTTGTCTTGCGACTTCGTGAATACTTTGAAAAGGAAAGCCGTAATGGTGGGCCTCTTATACCAGTGACTCAAGTTAGAGACCGTGTCGCAGCAGCATTAGGTATTAGTGCTCCAACAGTGGCAAAAATAACAAAAGAAGGCTACGGCAGCAGTGGCATGAGACAGAATAAGCTATCTACACCTAAGAAAAAAATCGGTTGTCTGTAAAGTCGGTTTACTGACGATAGTTGAACGTGACAACGTCATAAGAAAATACTGATGGAATGGTAGCATTTTTCAAAAATGTATTATTGTACACGAGTAGCAGCTGTCCACGCAGACGCATCGCTCACTCAAGTAGGAGAGAGACAGATGTCGAACGCTGCCGAATGCGGAGGCCGATTGTGCCTCTTTGTCACTCGTTCCGCGCTCTCGCTTGCACTTCACGCCTTAAATAGAACGCCTCAGAGCGAGGTAACGCCGCATGAGTCATGTTTTTTCGTGCGTGCAGCCAGCTCCATCGAATAATAAGACGTTGTCACGTCAAAAACGTCAGACCTGTAAAGTGACAGCAGTTGACAATTTTGACGCTGATGCTATTCGTCGTCATATATACGAATATAACCAAAGAAAAGAGATTCCAACATAAAAAAACTAACACAATCTCTACGAAATAGTGGTTTGTTCCGTGGTCAAGAATCTTCTTTGGCAAAAGTATTGAAAGACATTGGATTCTTATTCCAAAAATGTGACAAACGAAAAAAATTTATGGAACGCAATGATATTGCTTTATATCGATGCGAATTTTGATAAAAATAGAAGATTGGTCGAATGTTGTTTTCACAGATGAAACTTGGCTCAATGCGAATCATACGCAAATCAAAAACTTGGACTGACAACACTGCTGGCTCCACTTCAGCAGTACCAATGGAAACAGGCGAACGACTGATTATTTGCCATGCAGGAACAGTAAAAGGATTTGTGCCAGACGCTCTACTAGTTTTCAAATCCCAGAAAACAGTGGATTATCATGAGGAGATGAATTCGGACGTGTATGAAGTGGTTCAGAGAAATGCTTACATCACTCGAAGAGCCATCAATAATATTTATTGATAATGCACCCTATCACTCTCGTCAAATTAATAAAATGCCAACGCAGGTCAACAAAAAACATGAAATCATAAACTGGCTCCGTGACAATGGCGAGGAGGTAGACGAGTCCCTACTAAAAGTAGAGTTAGTAAAGATATTAAAAACAAAGAAGCTGCCAAAACGATACGTAATAGATGAAATGGCAGCAGAGCATGGGCATACCGTCCTCAGAATTCCCCCACATCACTGCCAATATAATGCAATTGAAATGATCTGGGCACAAGTCAAAGGATATGCTGCGAGGAACAATACAACTCCTCCTTTCACCGCAAGAAAAATCCTGGATTTACTAAAAAATGCGTGTGTAAAAGTAACTCCTGAAAACTGGGCGAGTGTTGTAAAAAAAACAAAAAAGGTGATAACGTCGGATTGGGATCGGGATCTTGCATTCGACAATTTTTCTGTCCAAGAATTGATAATCAATATTACTGAGAACTCAAGTGATGATGATTCCTGGTCATACGAAAAAGACGATTCTTTATAATTAAAAATAGTATAACAGTACCTCTTTTGGTTGTTTTATTATTTTAATCCCTAAAGTACAATGAATTTCAACATTTTGTACCTGTTCATTACAAGTAGGTACCGCAGTTCATTCACATGTTTTTTATTTGAACCAACTACAGTACGTCTAAACGATTATTTTGGATTCATTAATTTGCAGCGAATACATTCGATCCCATTACTAGGTGCGAGTACGATGGAACTGTTTTCATTACGCAAATTATTTATTTATTTGGACAACCAACAAGAACATACACCTTAAAAGCAAGAGATACAATGACAGTGATATACAACCATTAGTTCTGCCTTAATTACAGGTTGCCACGGAAAGCATAGTATTTATGCATTAAAACAGCGACATTTAGGGCATTTTAATGCAAAATAATAAAGGTTTTGACGTGATTTGATATAAAATAAAATCACAATAATTTTATTGTATGTTTTATTAATATAATCGATTTATTTCAAAACCGTTTTTGACACATCTCTAAGTGGGCGGTGCCCGTCCATGAAGTACAGTATTCACTGTAGTACAGTGTATCAAAAATTATTACAAAACTTTATGTGCGTGATCTGTCAAAAGTAAAAAAAAACGATTTTTAATGAGTTTTGAGTTCGTTAATTTTTACATATTTTTACAATTATTTTTATTCATACATAACATTCGACATAGGTAAGTCTATGTACATGAGTTATTGAAGGTTTGAAGGTCGTATCGGTCCGGAAATACCGCAGACAATAACCCGTTCCACAGATTGGTTGGCTATCGACGATTCGAATCGCTCTTCGTTGGATGCGGTCCAGAGGGAGAAGCTGGTACGGGGGTGCCCTTGCATAGAGATGAGAACAGTAGGTATTCCATATGCGGCCGGACTTGCGGCTTATACAGCTGAGCGGCGGTGGGCCGGAGTGAAATACTGCCTCGATCTGTTCAGCCCACCGAGCTTCTTTAAGACCAATTTGACCTTACGCTCTAAGTGACCCCGAAACTGAACTTCGCTCGATATGTCGATGCCTAGGATTCCGATGCTGGCTGAGGCAGTTAGGGTGGTGGTCTCAAACCGAGGTGATACGACAAATGGTATCTTCCTTGCGCTGGACTAGATTTAGTCGGCCCCAATCTAAAACCTCCGCTAATGAAGTTTCAATTTCAGACACAAGTTTGTTTCTACCCTCAATTACGTTTTCCCGTAAAGTATGGATTAACGGGAAGCATAGCGTCGTACTAGGCTAAAACCTCCTTTCTAAGGAGAGGCCTATGTCCAGCAGTAGACTATAAGAGGCTGTTGATGATAGCGCTGTTAGTAAAAGTAAAAAAAAAGAGATTTGCTTTTTAAAGAGCGACAAAAGAAACATTATAATAGACCGTACTGATATAATATAGCTTTGTTTCAAATCGATTTTTTACATAAAGTAAAAATATAAAATTCAATCAGGATAACGTTTTTTTAAGAAACGTTTCTCAACGCCAACTGCCTCCATGTCATGGACAGATGACATGACTGAGTCAGCCACTAAAGTGCCTGAAGGAAAAGGATAAGGGCTCATCATTGCGCATGCTGATACTAAGTCAGGGTTTGTGCCCAATTGCTTATTGGATTTTAAATCCACATGAACTACCGACTGCCTCAATTCAATGAATTTTGTAAAATTAAGTAATCACACATCACATCACTCATTCCTTACCTTCATATATAATTTAAATGGGCCTCATACCATCATGATGGATAACACTCCTTACCATTCAGTGCAAAAAGATAATGGTCCACCAACTAAAAATAAATGGTTAGAAATTCATAGAATGGTTGTACAATAAAGGAATCGAGGCCAACGAAGTTTTTTGCTTAAAGGTTACTTAAGTTTTTGCATCCTCAAACCCCGAATTCCAACATAATTATATCTTGGACTAGCTGACCCGCGCTTGCAACTTCGTCTGCGTCTCTCAATAGTAATAAATTTTATCCGTTTTTGAAACATTCTTCATTGGTGCTCCGCTCCTATTGGTCTTAGCGTGATGATATATAGCCTTCCTCGATAAATGGGCTATCTAACACTGAAAGAATTTTTCAAATCGGACCAGTAGTTCCTGAGATTAGCGCGTTCAAACAAACAAACAAACAAACTCTTCAGCTTTATAATATTAGTATAGATGAAATAGCCATTAAATCTCGTACTCGCTGATCCGTGTACCACCCTATCATTGCCAGTACAACACCATTGAGCTATTGAACTGATCTGGGCCTAAATCAAAGGTTTGTATTTTTTTATACCCTTCAAGACATTTACGAGATCGAGAATAGATCGGCACTGAATTTTGAACGAACTTTTATTAAGAGAATTGACTCTCAGGAAGCCTGGGAATGAGAAGTAAAGTTCGATTAGTTTATGATCAAGTCCTTATAATTGATCACCAGGATTGTTCCAGCAACGACGAATTAAAAAGATGACTTGGGTTGTACGACTTAAGAAAAATAATCTTAAAATACTTATTTGTTATTTTATTACTAGCTGGTGCCCGCGACTTCGTTTGCGTGGAATTTGAAAAGCGCTGCCTTAGTGGGTTCGATTCCCGGAGCAGGCTAAATTTATAGGGTTTTTCTGAAAAAAAAATATAGCCCAAGTTACACCTTATATGGACAGCTGACCTGGTAGTGACTGTAGTGACTATACCTAGTATTAAAATATTATCAAAATCGGTCCAGCCAGAAGAAACTATTTTTAGGCATAGGTATCGTGCGAATAACCGTGTGAGCATGAAAAAAAGCTAACATTTTGACATTACAAACAGACACTTCAATTTTATTTATTGTATAGATAAACCTATAAATTTAAAACAATCCCTCAATTTAACAAACTCCTGAATCGATTAGAGTCTATACATTAATCGATTTAACCAGTTATGTTATATCAAATTCAACTTTTGATTATTGGCTTTGTGGTAGTGTTCCCACAATTTTGCCAATGTCATGTAATTAAAAGAAAAACTGTCAAAGGATTTTATGTAGAATTGTGGTAAATCCAAAAATTTTTTTTTGAGAATGAAAGAATACGAATGAATAAATTGTTGTCTTTTACAAGCATGAATAAAACTTAAACTAGTAAAATATATCTATATATATACATATACAACTAGTAATATTAATACATATACAGAATAAGAAATAACCAGTAAAACAAAAAGAAATATTACACTGTGATATTGAAACTATAATTTATTATTGTTTAAAGTTATACACTTACCTAGAATGTATCCAAAAGAAGTAAAAACACGAGATAAGAGTAATTTAAGGGACGTGGGATGAGGAATATGAGGTGGAATGCGTTTCCCTCATCAAGCCCACACTCACAGATAGTCATATCACTAGTCATTGTTTTGTGACATCTATCAGCCGTATCGACATACTGAGACATACTGGTAGATTTATCCGACCCCACCGAATTTTACCCGATAAGACGTGATAAAACGTATTTTCAATACGTTGAGAAAATCAAAACTTCTTCAAAAAAATCAAAAGCCCGATTGCAAAATACAATTAAATGTAATGCACTAAAAAGACCGAAACAGCACGAGGTCCAACACGAACGTCCATTTTTACACTATCAAAACTTAAAACCGATATGTTATTCCTTGTTAAATATAAATTTATGTTTGTAATGCCCTTTTAATTTTCTTGATTTTAATACCCTGCTCGATAGGTTTGGTTATTTTTTTTATTAAGCTATAACTATTTTGCGCCAAAAATCCGCCCTTGTTTTTTATTGAAATAAAATCCATCATCCATCTCTGCCTCAGATTATAAGGACACTTGGGTATTCACATCCCTCTTTTATAAAGACGTAAGTACTTCAATGGTTGAAGATTGATTGAAGATTTAATTTGACTTTGGAACTATTCAACTGTATTGCCTGCCTGGTAAACTTTTAGGTTTGTTAAGATTCTGAAAATGACCTATTTTATTAGAAAAAGAAAGTGAAGATGGCAACGAATGTAGCACACACAGAGTAGAGAAAGATTTTACTCTACAGTTATTAAGCGTTCTAAAAAAATAGAAGCATGCCTACTTCTTGGCGACTCGAAACATAAAGCAGCTATCGAAACATTTCAGAGCTCATAATATATACCACCAGTTTTTTTTTAACTCTCGAAATGTCCTCACAAATTTGAAAGAAAAATTAGCATCATATTCAATACACCCGTACCATTTTAGAGATGTAATCTTATACAACTATTAGTGTTCTAAATATTGTGCGAGAGAAAATAATAAACTATATGTTTTTTAAATAAAATTTTATTAAACAAGAATGGTCTTTATCACTATGTATTCAAAAGAAAAACAGTGCAACAAAAATAGCTAAATAAACCCATTTCATGCAACATTTAAATAACCAAATATACATCAGAATGATTTAATTCTCTTTCTGCTATGTCTTAACACACCTGTCGCAAAATAAATAAAAACCTTCACCCATTTACAGCAATCTAGTCAAAAATTATGACTAAGAAGTATTTTTGACTGAACAGTCCTTAATATATATAATATTACATATTCTATATAATTTATAGAATAAAAGGTAAGATTGCTTTACGCCCTTTGGGATAGTCAGCAAATTCTTTCTTGTAATTTCGGTGCTTGCCGATCGCCCATACCGCCATCTGATAGAAGCCGGCAGCAGCAAATAATCCAGCTGGAAACATTATTAAATGATTTCGTCTTTATTTTAAATTACTTTCTTACAACCGACTGATATTTTAAAAATCCAATATTAGCATTTGTAATCAGTGTTACAAGTGAATACAAACATATGTAAGGTTCATGGATAGCATTAATTACATTTTAATACAATACACCATGCATACCTACAAAGCAATATTTTTAAGATTTGTGTACCATCACTAATCAAATCTTTATTTATAAATGCACTGTCATGCTTGGAAGTTCAATTAGGCTTGAGAGCCTAATTGAACTTCCAAGCATGACAGTGCAACACAAGTTCTTACAAAGTTCTTTGCATACTTTACAATGTTTATATAAAAGCAATTAGAAAAATGCTGTCTCTACCATGTAAACCATGTCTGTTCAACATATACTGTAGCTGTGTACAATGAAGATGTATAAAATAAAAAAAATCTTAAGAGAAAGAAGAGAAGAAGAAAGATATTTAATTGCAAGAGTTTGAATGGATGTTGATCTATCACGCCAGAACGACATGAACATTAGCTACTATTTACATGGGAAGAATTGATAGACAAAATCGACATTAACATGAGCATTGCAAAAGTTGGGCGCGGAGTTCTCTGACCGTGTCGGTCGCGTATGAATGCTATATATACGGAAATGCTCTTTTTATTGATTAAAATTTTACACTGTATTAAAAAAAAAGTAAATAATGAAACAAGGACCTGGAGGGTGAAGTGTGAATAAACTATGCAAATTATAGATTTGCATATACATTTATCCACAATAAAATGCTTCTGATAGATAAGTTGCTACAATTGATTTACATTCCATTTGACTGTATATCTGTCACTATTGTCGGTAAAAAAAATCTATTATTATTCTTTTAATAGTTTTTTTTTAATATGTAACTATGTTAAAATCTATATTAAATTTAATCTGTTTGAAATATGTTTAGTGTCTAGTTAAATTGTATAGAATAGAAACAAAAATTATTTTGTTCTCACCTGGTGCACACTTAGTCATAATAGTGAAGAACAGCCATGACCCAAATTCATAAGTGTAATTAGGGCAAGACACGAAGTTGAAGAGCAGAGAGAAGGGATTTCCATCAGGAACTGGTATGCGCCTGAGTTTGGTGCCAGGTGGGCGTAAATTTTTCAGCAACAAATGGATGCTAAGATTACCCAGCTCACACACCTAAAATTAAAATTTTAATTTTATTATATAATATGTATAGTAATGTACCAATTACAATACATAATATATTACTTTTCCTTTTTTTAAAAAGACAACTCCCATTCTAGCAATATATCCTGTGTTGCAGTGGACATTTGTGAAACAGACACAAAGAACACCCAGACACAGAGCAACAATTTGTGGATCACATGGGTGAAGAACCCACAACACTCAGGGCAGTGGGAAGCTGCGAGGTGACCACTTAAACTTATTTTGATAGTATTCAGGATATATCAAATTAATTATATTAAATGCCGACGGTGAGATCAGCTGTTGATGGTGGATCAAGTCCCACCAAAGAGTAGTGACATCTGGTAGAAGTTTATGAGATGCGGTATGATAGGGTGGCAGGCTGGTTGCACCTTGATATGATCAGGCCGCTTAGTTATTGAACTGATGGCCGGGGATGGCTTCCCCTAGGATAAGGCCATTTTAGGGGTAGGTTGGCCTTGGTAGATAGCATTAATGAAATGACATGGTTCAGATCATTCACAGAGTAGGGCCTAAGGTTGGCGATTTGGGTGGTTTTTAGTGAAAACACCAAGAGGGGTCAAGGAGCCGGCAATTCGAAGGGATTTTACACCTTATAGTGTAACTCCAAATTAACAGCGTATTTGTAACTGTCAAATGAATTAAGTCTGAATCTATACTATAATATTATAAAGCTGAAGAGTTTGTTTGTTTGAACGCGATGTTCAAACAAACAAACAAACTCTTCAGCTTTACTTTTATCTTTAATCTCAGGAACTACTGGTTCGAATTAAAAAAATCTTTTTGTGTTGGATAGTCCATTTATCGAGGAAGGCTTTAGGCTATATAACATCACGCTGCGACCAATAGGAGCAAAGAATCAGTGAAACATGTTGCAAAAACGGGGAAAATTATTCACATTTGAAGGCTTCCGTTGCGTGCGCTGCGTAAACGGTTCAAGTTAAACAAAAATATGTTTAAAAGAATTATTCCTCTTTAAATGATCTAAAAAAATGTCCGTGACAGTATATGTCTATCTTTTAAGATTGACTCACTATAACCTTTTTCATGGTAATCAAATTTGGTCGAAATTAATGCATTTTTGGCAAAGAATTGGCAATAATGCATTAATTTTAAGAGTATTTAATTGTGAACAAAATTGTCCTTGACATCACTTAATTTCAATTAACATCTTAGAAGACAATACAATTTTAAAAAAACTCCGCAACAAAATTCACACGCGCGCATGATGCGCAAGACAAGACTGCGCTGGCCGGCGGGCGAGGGGGAGGCGGTGCTTGGTGCCCGTCCGACGCCGCCGCGGCCACCACCCTCGCATGTAGTTCTACGAGGTACCATGCCGCGCTACTCAGACGCGTGGTGGCTCCCTACGGAACGGTTGAATTCAGCGTACTGATTTTTCAATTTATTTTTGCGATATATCATCGTGTAATAATACTTTCGTAATACACTTTAATTTTGTAGTAGTCATCTATTGTTGTTTCGGCTATTTCTAATCGTGTAATACCTAATACTTTTTCAATACACTTTCATTTTATAATAGTTTTCTATATAGTATTGTTTGTTTTAAGGATAGTATTTTGTTTCTAATATTTTTACAATAATTAACACTTTTTTGTTTTGATGTAGATAATATAAGTAGGTGTCATCTACATAATTATTCTTATTAGGTTAGGTTTTTGTTTACTAAAGCATACGGTTGGTTTACTTTATTATGTTTAAATATCGCAATAATTAAATTACCTTTATAATATTTCATTTTTTCCATTACACATCAGCGTACTGATTTTTTAATTTGTTTTTGCGATATATCATCGTGTAATAATACTTTCGTAATACACTTTCATTTTGTAGTAGTTTTCTATATAGTATTGTTTGTTTTAGGGATAGTACCTATTTTGTTTATAATATTTTTACAATAATTAACATATTTTACATACATAATTACTCTTATTAGGTTAGGTTTTTGTTTACTAAAGCATGCAGTTAGTTTACATTATTATGTTTAAAAATCGAAATAATTAAATTACCTTTATAATATTTCATTTTTTTCCATTGCACATTATTCATCTATCTAAATAGTTTTTTTTGCGTTTTCTGAAGTCATTTTACGGTAATCCCTTTGACATATATTTTATCCGATTTACGTACCAGAAGCAGGTATAAATTATTAGGTACATATTTATTCACCTTACGTTTGTTTTTCTTGATTACGAGATACGGTTTGGATAAGTTTTAATTTCCTACGTTCTTTCTTTTATCTTTTTCGTTACTATAATGCCTAGAAAAAGAACTAGCTTTCTCGGCAGACTGCTACTGCAAAGCGGCTGCAGCAATGAAACAGCGGATCAAAATATGCATAGGTTGGCTACTCAACGAGTGATCAGTGAACAAAACCTTACGAGGCAATCGAGCGTTGAACGTTCGCAGCGATTAGCCTCACAAAATTTCCGAACTTCGGCGAACCGACAACGGGAATCAAGTGCTGAACGTTCTCAACGTTTGGCCTCACAGAACTCTCGAACTTTGGCGAACCGACAACGGGAACCAAGCGCTGAACGTTCTTAACTTTTGGCCTCACAGGATTCTCGAACTTTGGCGAACCGACAACGGGAATCAAGCGCTGAACGATCTCAACGTTTGGCCTCACAGAATTCTCGAACTTTGGCGAACCGACAACGAGAATCAAGCGCTGAACGTTCTCAACGTTTGGCCTCACAGAATTCTCGAACTTTGGCAAACCGACAACGGAAATCAAGCGCTGAATGATCTCAAGGTTTGGCCTCACAGAATTCTCGAACTTTGGCGAACCGACAACGGGAATCAAGCGCTGAACGTTCTCAACGTTTGGCCTCACAGAATTCTCGAACTTTGGCAAACCGCGAACGGGAATCAAGCGCTGAACGTTCTCAACGTTTGGCCTCACAGAATTCTCGAACTTTGGCGAACCGACAACGGGAATCAAGCGCTGAACGATCTCAACGTTTGGTCTCACAGAATTCTCGAACTTTGGCGAACCGACAACGGGAATCAAGCGCTGAACGTTCCCATCGATTAGCACAGCAAAATGCACGATCAGCAAGGAATAGAACTCGCAGGCAACATAGTTTATTGAATTCTGCGTTTGCTTATGATTGTACCTTTGACTATGCTGAGCTAAATGATATTGATATTGGCAGAATGCATAAAACCTGCAACTTATGCCAAGCAATAAAATGGGCGGCTGAAGCTCCTGGAATGTGTTGTAGTGGTGGCAAAGTAAATATACCTAAAATTTCGGAACCAACATCAGTTTTTAAAGAACTCAAAGCATTTCTTAAATCACTCAAGACAATATAATACACTTTTTCAGATGACTTCATTTGGTGCCAAAGAAATTCGTGAGGAAAACTTTGTGCCCACTTTTAAAGTCCAGGGGCAAGTTTATCATTTGATCGGTAATTTACTTCCAGCTGAAGGTGCACAACCCGAATTTTTGCAAATATATTTTGTTTCTCATGCAGATCAGGTATCCTTGCGCTCAAATTTAAATCCAACCTTGCAAATCTACCTTATCGACGCTCTCCAAACATATCTTCACGATCATAATATGTAATAAATAGACGAAAATAGACCAACGAGTGATTTTAAACATATTATTCAGGCTGATGTGAAACCTCCTAACGAGCATCGAGGTCGGTATAATGCGCCAATAGTAGATGAAGTAGCTGTTCTTTTGATAGATGAAGACAAAGGTCCCCGAGATATTGTGTTGAATGCGAGAGATGGTAGACTTCAACGAGTTTCTGAAATTCATAGATCTTATGACCCACTTCAATATCCTTTACTTTTTCCCTTTGGAAATTACTGATACTGTATAAATATTCCACAGCAGAATACTGCTGCTAGATCTAAAACTGTATCATGTATGCAGTTTTATGCATTTAGATTCATGGTGATAATAAATGACTTTAACAGCATACATTATTTCAAAGGATTATTCAACCAATATTGTGTTGATATGGCGGCAAAAATGATTTCTGAGAGGCTTGACTTCATCAAAAGAAATCAAAAAAAATTGAGAGCAGAAGAGTACATTCATTTAAGATATACCGTGGTTAATGATGGCAATATAGACGGTTCTAATATTGGCCAGCACGTTATATTGCCGTCGTCATTTACAGGATCCCCCAGATACATGAATGAAAAAAGTCAAGATGCCATGACATACGTCAGGAAGTTTGGAAGACCAGATCTCTTTATTACATTCACATGTAACTCCGAATGGCCAGAAATAAAAATTGAGTTATTACCCGATCAAAATTCTTACGACAGACATGATTTGGTTTCTAGAGTATTTCATTTAAAACTCAAGAAAATGATAGACCTATTAACGATGAAAAATATCTTTGGACCATCGAAAGCCTTCGTTTACAGCGTAGAATGGCAAAAAAGAGGTTTACCTCACGCCCACATTTTATTGTGGCTGGCTAACAAAGTACAACCAGATTCTATAGATGCAATTATATCAGCTGAAATACCTGACCAACAACAAAATCCAATTCTTCATAATATTGTCATAAAAAATATGATACATGGTCCTTGCGGATTTCACAATCCTGCGTCACCATGTATGAAAGAAAACATTTGTTCTAAAAAGTACCCTAGGCATTTTATTTCTGAAACACAAACTGGGGATGACGGTTACCCAACCTACAGGTGCAGGTCTCCAGATAATGGTGGAAAAACAGCAATAATTCGTGTCAAAGGTACAGAAATGAGCGTGGATAATAGGTGGGTTGTTCCCTATAATCCAGTGCTATCACGAAGTTTCAATGCACGCATTAACGTAGAGTTTTGTCAATCGGTCAAAGCTATTAAGTACATCTGTAAGTATATTCATAAAGGTTCTGATCAAGCCACATTTTCTTTGCAAAATAATAACAAAAATATCTAAATGGTCGCTATATAAGTTCCTCGGAAGTGCTCTGGAGAATTTGCCAATTTCCTATTCATGAACGTTTTCCGGCAGTGGTTCATTTAGCAGTTCATTTTAAAAATGGACAAAGAGTTTATTTTTATAATAATGAAAATCTCCAAGATCGCGTCAAGAATCCTTCACCAACGACACTTACAGCGTTCTTTGATCTTTGCAAAAGAGTCAATTTTGCAAAAACCCTTTATATCACGAAGTACCCCAGTATTACGTATGGGGAAGAAATTCATTTTCTAGAAGAAGACGTGGGCAAGATGTTGAAGGATATCCCGGTGTAAAAAAAGACACAACTTTAGGCCGTGTCTACAACATTCATCCAACACAAACTGAATGTTGTTATTTAAGAATGTTACTGCAACATGTTCGCGGTCCAATGTCGTTTGAACATCTGAGGACCGTTATTATTTTTACCGTTATTATTTTCTGTACCGTTATTATTTTTCCGTTGTTATTTTCCTACCTAATCTAGGCGCTTGCAAGGAATTAGGTTTACTGGAGGGAGATGAACATTGGCAAAATACCATGTCAGATGCTGTGATGTCTGAGCCAGCCACAAAATTAAGAGAATTATTTACCATCATTCTCATATTTTGCCAGCCATCTGACCCCTTAGAGTTATGGAATAAATTTCGAAATGATTTATGTGAAGATATATTAAACAGAATGCGTAATGAGAATCAGGATATGACATTAGCATATAGTGATGATATATACAATGATGGAGTTATCATAATTGAAGATAAGATTCATGAGATTTGCGATAAATCATTAACTGATTTTAGGCTTCCTGCATCAAAAAGGAATAATTCACATAATAATTTGGATCCGTTAGAAGTAGCGTTGCGAAAGCTGTATGATGTAAATGAATTAAATGAGTATATTACTGAAAATGAACCAAAATTAGTTAATACCCAGGTGACGGCGTACAATCGTGTTATGCACAGTGTTCTTGTTAATGAAGGAAAAAAAAAATTTTTGGATGCTTCAGGTGGAACTGGCAAGACTTTCATTACTAATCTGATATTAGCAAAAGTAAGGTCTCAGAGAAAACTAGCTTTAGCAGTAGCGTCGTCAGGGATCGCTGCAACTTTATTAGCAGGTGGACGCACAGCTCATTCCACTTTTAAACTGCCTCTAACTGTTTCTTTACAGAAAGATAGCGTGTGCTCTATGTGTATGTGTACCATGATCCATAGAGCTCATGTAGAGGCTCTAGATAGGACTCTTAGAGATATTAGAAGCTGTGATAAAATCATGGGTGGGATTACTGTTATGTTTGCTGGGGATTTTAGCCAAACTTTACCGGTAACAGTAAGGGGAACTAGAGCAGACATTGTAAAGTCTTGCCTTAAAAGTTCCCCATTATGGAAGTTTGTTCATACCTACGAATATGAGAGCACATTTGGGGGGAGGTAGTACAAATTTTCCTTCAAAGCTACTTTTAATAGGAGACGGGAAAGTACCTCATTTTGAAAATAAAATTGATCGCGAATATCGAAAGTTTACCCTGATATCGTCGAAATAGAAAACAAAGATTATCAATGGATGTGTCAAAGGACAATATTGGCGGCGAGAAACAGTAGCGTTGACAAAATTAACGACCTAATTTTAACTAAACTTCCAGGAGATAAAGTTACCTACACATCTATTGATAATGTAATGGATCAAGAAGATGCGGTCCAGTACCCACAGGAGTTTCTTAATTCTTTAAACCCGAGTGGCCTTCCCCCACATTCCCTCAAGTTAAAAATAGGTGCCCCAATAATTTTACTTAGAAATCTTAAACCACCAAATTTATGTAACGGGACCCAACTTCAAGTCAAATTTCTTCGCAACAATGTGATCGTTGCAATAGTTTTGACTGGTACAGCAGTTGGTTAAACAGTGCTTATTCCTCACATCCCAATGATTCCAAATGATTTACCTTTTAATTTTAAAAAGATTCAATTTCCCGTTAAGTTATCTTTTGCCATAACAATGAATAAATCACAGGGGCAAACATTTAAACACGTAGGAATCGATTTACGTCAAGACTGCTTTTCACACGGCTAACTATATGTAGCGTTGTCAAGATCGGGTTGCGGAGAAAATCAGTATGTTCTTCTGCCACAAGAAAATAAAACTAAAAATATCATTTCACATCATACTTTAAAATATATTCTTTTAAAATATAACAGAAATAATAACAGAAATTGACGTGGACAAAGTCGCGGGCAACAGCTAGTGATAAATAAGAGTCAAAAACACATTGGTTACCAAGGTATGACAGGTGAATAAATGGACTTTGCTTTTTACAAGGTCAGAAGTTTAAGTAGGTAAATAAGTGATAATAATCTGCTTACACACACAAACTATTAACCAAATTCCAAGACATGAGCCTGATATATTATAATAAAGATTTGTTATTTAAATTACTAAGTAAACATTGTTCTGTAAAAAAGAATACCTCTGTATTTGGAGGTCAGTAACGGTCAATAAGAATTTAAAGCTTCAATTTAAATATTCTTAGAGGCAATGACAATGACTAAAAATTACCTTGTGAATAAAGTTTGTTTTTTATTATATCACTGGGGCGTACTCTTTTTTACTATTCAAAAACAAGCATAGTTTTTTATTGATATATATTTTTTCTCTTGTTTTAAAAAGGTATTGTTTTAAAACAATAAATCAAATTCATGTCTAGCTTCAGTAACCTTTCAGACTAGCTCAATTTAATTCTTAACTCATGAGATTCTAGTCTTAATATTCAACGATAATTTTATTTTGTAAATGAACACTAGCATTATACTCACAATGAAGCCTGCAAGTCCCACATAGTAACATGTGTTGCAAGGAGCAGTGTAAAGCGGATGATTGATGTGGTAAGCCACATATAAGGTAAACAACCAATAGTATGAACAGTTCTTGAATAGGTTACTCAGTGGCATTGTTCCATGTGAGAAGCGATGCACAAAAAGAGTTTCTAAAAGCCTCTTGCCATAATGTAATGTCCAACATGCAGCAGCAACTCTGAAAAAGAATAATAAAAATGAACATAACTGGACAGACTAAACTTTAATTAGATTTACAAACATTGCTTTCTTATTAAAGAAAAAATTAAAATTTTAAAATTAATAAAAAAAAGTTTACGTACGTCACTACTTCTTTCGAAACAGAATTTTGAGCTCCATATAAAATCCATGGCCTTTGATAAACCCATAAATATATGAACAATGGCCCGGCGTACTCTGCCAAAAATACGTTTTTCCACGATATTTGAGGACCCAGGTCTTTGACGTATAATTTGGAAGAATCTTTTATGTTCAGTGCCTTAAGCGTATCCTCGTCCTTTAACGTCTTTCCTCTAGCTTCTAACTTTATGGATTGCCGGTCAGGGTACAAAGATTTTTTAATGCTTTGGTGAATCTTGTCTTTTACATCTTTTATTGTTGAATCTGGAGATACTTGTATCTTTCCTAAAGGTTTGGACCCGGAGGCACTCAAAATCTCGATCTACACGAAAAATTTAAGAATCATAATATATACCTATTACTGTAACTGTTAAAGCGAGGCTGATTTATAAAGCTTTAGGACTTATATATATTTAGTTAGCTTACCTCCATCTTGGCGTGGATGTAGCCTAACAATGAGAAAATATTTTAGTTTTTAATATACCGATAGAAGTCAAGAACGTAAAAATATAATAAAAATTATAAATTTTAATCCGATTCCCACTCGTGCAACCGACGTCATATAGACATACACCTACTATAAAAGATGTATATTTTACGACGTCACCCAGAGAACAGTGTGACCATTCTTTTGCTAAATGTTTCTACCTCAATTTACGGTTCATTAGAACAATAATAAAAGTATTAAAAACACTCATTCGCCCTCTTCATTTTTACAGAAAAGGATTGATTGACAGAGGGTTCTCAACTTATTTTGCGACGAAATTACAGGTTATCTCGGTGAAACAGCTGGTTAAAATACTACTATGATACTATTTTTATAGGTACACATATTTATACAAACTTAGAAAAAGTATAAGTTTTTGCAAGCTAAACTTGACACTGCTTTGCTTGCTTTGCTTTTCGGACTATCTTTTATATACATATATCTTTTAGCTTTAGTTAAAAAGCTAAAAGATATCCATATAATAAACGAGGAATTAATCAATGTGAACATTGATTACATCCGCATATAATTTTAGATAAATAGATAGATAGATAAAATTTTATTTATACACCAGGGTTTTACAGAGATTATAAAGTGGTTAAACGTACAATAAATGTAATTAACAAAGGGTAGCCTTATCGCTTAGAGCAACTTCTTCCAGGCAACCTTTTGGAAGGACTGGATTCATTTTGAACTGATGATAAGTTTATAAGTCCGAATAGTAAATAATTGACCTATGAAATATTTATATTTATCATACATAATTTTTATTAATCCATATTTACACATTAATACTACACATCTAACAATTTATATATATGTGTAAAATATGTACAGTGTCTACCAATATATAGGAATGACCTGGTTTTGACAGCTCATAGCGGCCATGTTTGATGATGGATCTTTGACGTCTCTTGACATTTGTGTTCAGTAAGGTTTGCCATTTTATCATGTCACGTTTCACTTTAAACCAACGCTTGGAAATTGTCCAAAACTTCTTTGAAAGTGACGAAGGAAACCCTGTTACTGTGAATGGCGAGCGCTATAACTCGATGTTAACCGAATATTTCTGTCCGGAATTTGATGATATTGATGCAGACGACCTTTATTTTCAACCAGACGGTGCACCACCTCACATTACTCGAGTGAACATGGAATTATTGCGTGGAAAGTTTGGTAAGTCGTTAATTACGAGAAATGGACCCATCAGTTGGCCACCAAGATCGTGTGATTTAAAGCCTTTAGACTATTTTCTTTAGGGTTACGTTAAATCTAAAGTGTACAGCAATAATCCAGCTACAATTCGTGACATAAAAACCAACATTCGACGAGCCATAGCCGACATACCGGCCGAAATGGTGCATCGCGTCATCGAAAATTGGCGTGAGCGGGTGACCGCCTGCAAAAAGAGCCGCGGCGGTCATTTGGCCGATATATTATTTAAAACATAAATGGCATAAAATGATCTATCAAATAAATCAATTGGATGCATTTTTCATCAAAAATTGTTAAACCAGGACGTTCTTATTGGTAGACCCCATATACACTAATTTGCAACTATGAGAGACAGATAATGCTCATAGAACATAGTTTTGAAGGTGGTTGCAGATTGCGCACGTCTGACAGAAACCGGCAACACATTCCATACACTACAGTTTCTATAGAAAATGATTTTCTATAAAAATTGGTAGAATGCCTTGGTATTTCCAATTTCAGGTTTTCAGAGAACCTCATGCATTCTAAATGTGTCTCATGAAGAAACTTAAAGCGTTCTTTAAGGTAAACAGTAGTTAATGAATTTATTTATTTATTTCAATCTTTATAATCTTTTCTCATTTCGCAGACTTAATGTCCCAGACATTAACTTCCAGTAAACCTTTGGGTGGTGTAGAAATAATATAAGGTAGGTGCACAGAGGTTACATATGACATGTATTCAATGAAAGTATACACGGGTCACTACATACATAAACTTATACGTACACATATACACACATACGACACATAACATCATAAAACACATATTATATTCATACGTATGGACTGGGTAGTTATGCCATTTTATTGAGAAGGAGATCATGCACCTTCTTTTTGAATACAACATGGTTAGTGGACACAACAAATAACGAAGAGCTCAGGACGGAGTTGTGGGGGGGACATAAGAGAAGCAGGTTATTTCTAAGCGAAGAGTTCTATCCTGATTAGAGGACAGGTAACGGAAGTAGGGAGCGAGGTAAGTAGGTGAGGTCGGTGAGTTAATGAGAATAGAGAAGTAAGTGCACGCTGTTTGCGGCGCAAGTTGGAAACATGATCATATTTGCGAAATCCAAATATGAATCGTATGCGAAAAATTTGAAGACGCTCATAAGGTTTATCGAGGTGCTTTGGTGAGATCCAGATAGCTGACGTCGGCATAGTCAAGAATCGGAAGAAGGAGTGCAGATTTAGTAGCAGTCGTAAGAAAGTTTCGTAACCTTTGCAAAGATCCCGCAGCAGCAAACATTTTGCGGCGCCTTCTGAACCTGAGGTCCCCATTATAAGGTGCTATCGATTATAACTCCCAAGTTGTTAATTTTGCTGCTGATCGGTATAACGGTATTATTAAATTGAACCAGAGGAAAAAGCGACCAATTAATACTAGTAGACATTATGTGACTCCAAATGACGCACACCTGTGATTTTGTAGGATTAATTTTGAGTCCAGAGTCTTATGTGCTCTAGATCCAAATTAATTACATTGAGCGCAGTCGATAACATACTGACAGGTGCATGGGTGTATATCTGCAAATCATCAGCATACAGGTGGTAGGATGAAAGTAAATGATTAGAAATAGAATTAATAAAAATTGACACCGACAGTCGTATTACATCATGAAGATGGAGTCTTCAAGACGAATGTGATGCTGACGCCCAAGTTTGATTGGTTTCACAATCAATTGCGAAGCCAATCAATTGCCTCTAGGAGATATGTTAAGAGAGTGAAGAATACCAAGGAGAATATGGAAATCAACAATATTAAATGCGTTACTGGAGTCAAATAAGGATAATACCGTTACGTTTCATTTAATATCATCTCCATATTTTCTCTAATATCATCTGTAATGTGGACTAATGCTGACACTACTGTTTCCTGCACGGAAGCCAGACCGAAAGGGATGTAGAAGATTATTTAGTAATCAGAGAAATATGAAGGTTTAGATTTTTTTGGTAAAGGAATAATTTTAGTTACTTTCACCAAAAAAATCTATTTTTTTTAGTAGCAGTTTTATGAAAATGTATCAGATGTGATTATTGCATCAAATATTAACTTCGAGACTTAATTTGAGCAATTCGAAATAAAGATCGCTTGTCGTATTTTGACGCACCTAAATTGGATAGTATGAGGAACATGCCAAAATCCGACAATTGATCTTTATTTCATAAAATACAAAGAAATAGCAACGAAATATTACTCTAATATATTACGTTAAACAGTAGTAACAACTAGTAAAGTAACTGGGAAAAACAATCAAGTTGTAGAACAAAAATGATTTTTCTCCTATTGTTATCCTAAAGTTTAAGAGGCTTTGTTAATAGCTTTAAACCAGGAATTCCCAAACTATTTTGGGTAAGAGACCCCTATTCTAAAATGAAGTGATGCCTTAGACCCCATAGCCAAATTACTGCACGCTTATCGACTTGTTGATTTTTTTAAAGTACAACAATGCCACTTCCTACTAAAGCATTAATAATTCTTATAACAAACAGCTAATACAGTAGCTTCAAAGTTTCCAATTAATTCAAATAAGAACTTGTGTTAATTAATAGGAGTCGATTTTTAGACCTCGTCAACCCCCAAAATTAGTTATGTCGACACTTTCTATCTATGAGGTATAAAATATTTATATAAATTAAATAGATCTTTTGCAGATTGGCTATAAATTTGAAAATAGATTCGTTTATTTCGGATCTTAAAAGATCCTTGCCGTTTTTGATGATCAAATTAACTTTATCATGCTATAAACACTCTTCCATATATTCTCTTTCCAAGCTTACGGTACTACATCAATATTACGAAAACAAAATAGAGAGAACCGATAATCAGTACAGTAGTAACTAACAGTAAGTAGTAAAATGGTAAATTTTAGTCCTTCTAGATGGCGTTGTGCTAATTTCAAATTGCAAATAAACTAACTTCGAAATTTTATTTTGCATACCTGCACATTAGAGCACAAATGATTGCTTTGCACAATCAAGGCAAAAACCAATCGGAAATTGCGAGAGAAACACAATAGCCGCGCTTGTGTCAAACAAAGCAGCGTAGTGGTTATACGGTATAAACCAATTTTCCTAATAGCCGGCGGGTATTTCATAGAGAAGGTATGCATTATCGGAGGTATGCTGTGAAACTTTTACTGACAGATAACCAATACTTTTAAGTCCAACCAATATAGGTGCTTAAGTTGTGGCATTGTAATAATACGATGCGCGATAGTGTTGGTAGATTTGCCAAAAAGTAACGAATACGGTGCTGAGTATAGATATTTTTCCGCACAAGGATATCCACGGTTATGTTTACAGATACCCGGCCCTCACTAGTAACAAAACAGACTGACTAACCTGACATCCGGATGGCGGAGTGGTTTGTGTAAAGGACGTCTATGCCAAAGGTCGCGGGATTGATTCCCTCTCAAGTCAAATATTTGTTTTGCTTGAACGTTTAATGTTTGATTTAGTCTGGGTGTTTCTATGTGTACATTGATTTGTATGTTATTGTGAAAAAAATGTAAAAAAATATATTTTTATCAGTTGTTTAGTACCCATAGTACAAGCTCTGCTTAGTTTAGGAATAGATGGCGTTCTGTGAATGTGGTAGAATATTATTACTAATATTAGATATGTGGTACAATATTTTGAATAGTGAGAAATAGAAGTTCGCAGTAGGCACAAAAGCCGACCCTAACCTGGTTTGGAAGAAAAGGGTCGGAGGAATAGAGGAAAAAGCCTTAAGGGGCTAATGTGTGTATTAAACATAAAAACATAAAGAATTCGGGTTTAAAGCCGTGGACAGAAAGTACTGCACAGCTCAAACTTAACCTAATTTGTTTTGTCTGTACCTATCTACACAAAAAATTATCCAATATAATCCTTTATTTTAAATTACTAAAGTCCATCAACTACTGCAAGTTAAAAATAAAGAAAAACCATAAGTAATGGAAAAAAAATGACATTTAATTAGGTTACCGTTGCCTTTACATGTTTATATATACACTTAAAAATAGATATATTTTGTAACTCACCTGTGGTTTTTATTTGTATCAAAGTTCAAAAAGATAATTTATTTATTTGTATCACAATCAGTTTATTACGACGCAGAAATATAAATTATGAACGTATACATTTCTTGTTACGTTGGCACGAGTATTCAAATGTGTGTGTCTGCTGTGTTGTATACAAATATAGACATGTTCGACCTCGACAGATTGCGCAAAAATGTATTAGTGTGATAACCGGCATGTTGCTGTGTGAGTCTAACATTTAAAATGGCGATTTGGATTGTATTCTGTGAGCAATAATACACTGTTTTTATAAAAGTGCTTAACCAATTGTTAAAATAAACGTTTTTATACAGTGCTAAATCTAAAACCGTCTAAAATATGCGTTCTGTGGTTGAAATCGGGGCAAGTGTCCCAGCTTTCCTTGGAAAATTATGGAAATTGGTGAATGATACAGAGACTAATCATCTGATTTCTTGGAGCCCTGTGAGTGTTTTTCATATTACATGTGCCCTGTACAGCAGCATTAATTCTTTTGATCAATTGTTTTATGTAAATTTCAAAGTGGCTTCAGACATCGTAATAGAAAGTCATTACGAAAACAACCTAAAAGTGTTGCAAGTTGACAATCTGCAATATGAAACTTGATAAATAAATAGTTTACAGCAGGTCACGTTTTGTACCATGCTCTCAGACTCAATGTTAAATTTAGGCTGTAATATTGTTATCAAAATGGCTTTCATAATCAATACCGACTAGATGAACGTAAACTACAGCTGATATTGATAATACAATAACATGATATTAATTTAGTAAATGTTTAATACTTTACGCTAATATACAACGTTGCATGTAATATTGAACTATTCTATAATTTCTATATGGACTTTTTATTCAAAATAACTTAAAAAGTATGTACAGATGGGTACCATGATATTATTGATCAAAGAATAGCTTATCAACTGTGTGGCACTTTTCATTATTGTAATTTATTGAATCAATTAGCAAAGGATAATGAAAATGTATTTGTCTAACCTTATCATTAAAGTGGCTATTGAATGATTATTATTTTTATGTAGACCTATCTTTATAAAAAGTGTTTATGTTACAGGGAGGCAAAACATTTGTAATCAAAAATCAGGCAGATTTTGCAAGGGAACTTCTGCCTTTATATTATAAACATAACAATATGGCAAGTTTTATTCGGCAATTGAATATGTATGGCTTTCATAAAATCACCTCTGTTGAAAATGGTGGTCTCCGCTATGAGAAGGATGAAATTGAATTTTCTCATCCTTGTTTTATGAAAGGTCATGCTTATTTATTGGAACATATTAAAAGAAAGATAGCAAATCCTAAGTCTATCGTTGCCAGTAATGAAAGTGGAGAAAAAGTTCTTTTAAAACCTGAGCTTATGAATAAAATGTTGACTGATGTGAAGCAAATGAAAGGCAAACAAGAAAGTCTTGATGCCAAATTTAGTGCCATGAAACAGGAAAATGAAGCTCTCTGGAGGGAAGTGGCGATTCTCCGTCAGAAACATATGAAACAACAGAATATAGTGAATAATGTTAGTAGAAGTCATATTATGTTCAGATTTTTTATTAATTATAGACCACATTAAATAAGTTCTGGGCTTTGTGTTTTAGCTCATTCAATTCTTGATGTCAGTGGTGACGCAACCACCTAGGCCTTCAGGTACTGTTAGTACTACTGCTGGAGTAAAGAGGCCATTCCAGTTAATGATAAACAGTGAAGCACATAACACTAATGGAGAAAGTGGTTATCCTGGCAGGATAAAGAATATGAAGCTAGACAAAGATGCTTTACTTGATGATTCAAATGAGGATAATCAGGTATGTGAAATTGACATTTTTATTTTATTAATGATACCACTCAACAATAGAAGTTGAATGGTGAATTAGGCATCTGGCCTCATTCACCATTCAACATCTATTTAATTTTTGTTTAGCAATCTTATTGGAATCTAGGTTCTTAACTTGTTATTTGTTTGTTATGTTGAACCTAGATGCCAGTAAGGTTGTGAAGGCAGAGTTCTGCATTCCTCATAATAATATTGTACATAACATATTCATGTTGTATTATAATAACATTTCATATGCTTTATAGGAAGACGGCCCCACCATCCATGAGTTGGCACAAGATGATATCCTGCACAATGATGGCACTCAGGACTCCATACCAAGTGGTGATTTTACTATTGAAGTACCTATAATTGCTAACATGACATCAAATCAAAGTCCTGCTGAACCTTCTACTTCTACATATCATGTTACCATGGAAGATGGGGATGATGCCGAAACAGGTATTATTATTATTATTAATTATCTAACAAGTCTTTTCAAAAATGAAATGTGTGTGAACTTGTTTTTGATAAAACATGTTTTCAGGGGTCCAGGGAGTATTGTATCCTGTTAGTCGCCGCTATGGCACTCGGAGATCAAGTGACAGCATGCCTATTATTACATCAGCATCACCTACACCAACAACTCCTACAGGAACAATAGAGCAACCAGTAATTGAACAAGTATTTCCAAAGACAGTAAACAAATCAAAAGGTCACAGTAACAAAAATGTAACACCATCCGGGAGAAGTTTTCTTCAACAGAACACATATAATGTACTAAACCCTACAGCAGACTTAAAACTACCAGCTGAAATATTTGCTAGCGATGATTCCATAAGTGATGTTGGTGTTGCTGGTGCAGAAGACATCAACATGCAAAACACATTACAGGATCTTGTTCAGGAATCACTCCTATCTAACTTACAGGACAAAATGCTTAGTGCAGCCAATATAAAATTGGAAAAAACAGATTCTGATAAATGTAACAAGAAATATAAAAAAGGCCAGAAAAATACTGAAGCCCATTTGAACTTGGCTGATATTAAAACAGAACTTCAAGATGATTTTGATTGGAACAACATGACTCTTGCAACTGTAAACAATAATACTAATGTTAACAGATTTCAGACGAGGTATATATAACTATTTCTAATTATTTATCATTCATTCACCTTAATTGAAAACTATATTTTTATTTCCCAAAGTTGTCACTTGACATAATAACAGTACAGTACATAACCTTTTAAATATTTCATATCAGACATGAGACAAGTCATGTTTATTAAAAAATAAAAGCCTTATGAACCCTCCATATAATGAATGTAATTTAATGTTCAGGAATAGGAGAGATAACATCTGCAAAAATCGAGAGGATTATTCTCCCCTCTATGGAACAAATCCTAACAAGTATGTGTAATATATGATAATTATTCTGAATAACAAGAATTGCAGCAGTGACCTAATATAAATATTTATAATATAATGTAGTCCTAGATCAGTTACATATTATACCTCGAGGTTAAAAACATTGATAAGTATTTATGGTAGACAAGTAATTGTTAGTAACAGAAAAATGATGAATGTAGGTTAAATGTTGTGTTCTATTTGATGGACTTGTTGATCTAGTAATTAGTGATTGTGGGTTTGATTCCCAATCAGGGCAAATGTAATTATTTGCTTTATTCTTGAGTGTAATTTATCTACAAAATATATATATTTAGTAACATGTAAGTATATTTGTCTAGTACAGGCTCTGTCCCGTTTGATATCAGACCGCTGTGTAAGGTTTTAAAGTTTAAATTATTATAATTTTAAATTATTCTAAAATCCAACTGATACTGTGTACACATATTTAACTGTTGAAACGCTAAAAACATGTATTATAATTTTGCTTCTAAGAAATTTTACACTTACAATATTATGCTTTAAATTATAAAGATACTTTTCTAATAGTCTGATAGGGTGTTAAGCCAATAATTTTAGTTCCTTACAATCCTAATGTGGGTGATGCTTGTAAAATTATATTCTTAATGTATTTTAACTAAATATATTGGAATGTTGCAGGAATGACATAGATGATCATTTGGATGCTATGCAAACGGACCTTGAATCACTGAGAGAGCTGCTTCGAAATGATCCATATGCATTTGATACAAACACATTGCTTGGGGTAAATGTATAACTTTGAATAAACTTAGAATAGATAATTCTTCATAAAATCTATGTTCTACACAAACCTATCTAAAATTCATAGTAATTTCTTATAAAATATTTATATAGTTATATTGAACGCACCCATAAGAACTGAATACTCACACATACATAAAAAATCACTTGGCGGCCCATTGTAAACATTCACATTAAGTATCGTTAGGTTGGTAGCACTGTCGCAGTCACGTTGCAGACAACGTGTTGTGACCGCGTGTAGAGCCTTGTGCGGCGTTCGCCTCCCCACTCACACAGGTATGATTTTACGTACCAGACAAGTTCACTTAGAATGACGTCAATATATTAGTAAGATGATTTAATTTATTTAGTACATCTAATAGCAGGATTTTTCATATTTCGTTACCACAAAGCAAAAGGCAACGCTCTTAGAACCTATATCGAACCGATAAATATTTCAAGAAGAAAATAAATTAATTCTTTATTGTCCATAGACTGCTGATTCAAGACTAATACCTTCGATGTCTCTCGCTATTCCTACCTGTCAACATACAACAAATAATTATGTAATTAAAACTTGATCGACAGAAGTGTTAGTTGCTAGATAAAGATTGATTTGTGAATTCGTAACTAAAAAATATTCTCAAGGCCATTGCATTGCAAAAAATTATCGTAATTGAGCATACGCTTTAAACTGCTTATATAGAAAACAAATCCTTATCATGATGAGTGCGGGTTCTGAGCTTGTCATAATGATACAAATTATCTTTATTAATATTATCACTTAACTAATTGTTCAGTATTTGAAAATTGTGTTGAACTTATTTTTGTATTCTAGTTGTTTGGGTCTGACGATCCATTCTATGGACTACCGTATAATACAATGGACGAGAAGACGAAAACATCCAATAATGGTAAGTTATGGTACACAATCGTACATTTCTAGTTTTATGTTCAATTCAACCTTACATATTGAAATTAACATTCAGAAAGTATGCATACACGCCCTGCATTGCTGAATGCATCACTACAGTTGCTATTTAATTTTCTCTCATGATGCATAACAATATCGTCTAAAAGATGACATCACACTTGCTATGATTTTGTGAATAAAACTGAGTGTTGACGAAATTAAGTGATCCTCTTTATACAGTTTACAATCCACAATGAAATGTCAATAACGATCATTATAGTCTTTTATATTACTCAATTTATAATAGCAAAAAATCCACGGAGGCCAAAAAAATATGAATTTCTATTTATGTCACATAACAACATGTTACTCAAGTGTTCATTATCGATAACCAATTGAGCAAGTCTGGCGCCACCTTACAAAAAATCATTGTTGTTTGCTTTGTTCATTATACGAATGACTTACTTTCTACTAGCTTGTTGGTAAGACAATTTATAGCAGTTAGTCTTACAGCAAAGTTGCCGTTTATACGAAGTATATTGTGAGGAGTATACCACTCGAAAATTATACAGATCAGAATGCACGCACGACTTCCACCAGCAATCATTGAGTAATGAAAGGCAATCCATATATTTTCTGAGTTATATTTCACGTTTATGTTAATTGTAGATACAAGTACAACCAAACAGTATCCGATGATTGATTTTGATTGGCTGATCGGTAACAGCGAGGCCCCTCCAGCAAAGTAGCATGTTGCTACTGCATCTTTCAAGATTATTTTCAACGCTGACCGCGTCTCGGCAAATTGACGTATTGGATGTTTTTGGTAAAGGGTTAATATAATCGTGGTGGTGCCGATCAGTGCTACGATTAGGAAAAATATTATCTCCGCAAAAATGACTCCAACTGCCATTTCTACATCTGTGTACAATTAGTTGGTAACATTAATGTGTAACAACACATAATTATGAACTTTAAGGATTCATAAAAATACAAATCATCATGTTAAAGTGTAAAGTAGGAATCCATTGACCTATTGTCTATTTGGTTGCTATACCTTTCGGTCGATGCACGTGAACACTCACAATAAATTATAACTCGTATTCTGCAAGAACGTTATTGTATGTCGTTGGAGTATTTCCTCATTATAGGCACAATAGTTTAGATTAATGTTAAGTGTTAACTGTAATTGTATGTTATTGTTAATTAAAGCAAAGAAGCAGAAAGGTGAAATATCGCATGTAAGCGGTGATGACAATCGTGTGCAGCAACTATTGACAGAGGATAATGGTAGTAATTTATGTTTTGAAGTAGAATTGTAAAATAAGGGCCTATTTTGCACGAAATTTAAATTTTTAAATTGTAACACATCATTTAGTTTATTTTGGTGCTATAATTTCTTGTATGGAATGCAATTCACAAGTAGAGGTGTTGATCTAACTTATTGATCCAATATCTTTGTAATGAACAAATTAGTGTTTGAAACTTCACTGCTAGTGTTAGCATTTATAAAATTTTTACTTTCCAGAATCCAAGTTATTGTTACCTCAATCGCACGATTTTTTTAAAATCAATTCAACTATGATTGTGAATGCGTCCATAAGTGAATGTTAAGTTTGATCATCCAAGCTGCTTTGTAAGTTACGAAAGCTTATTAGGCATGTCAATGTGACTTAGAAAAAATGGGTTTATAGTCAATTCGATTGTTTTATAATCGAATAGATTACCCGATTATTGAATGTTTATGTCGGATTACCTGTCTAATATTTACAAGATTTTTTTATCTTGAAAGGAGTTCCTTCATTTAATTTTGGTGATATAAATACAAATGCTAAATAATAATACTTCCTTAAATTTAGTTGGTCAATTTTCAGGCTGACTGGTACGATTCGATGATTTGAATTTTGTTGTATTGATTATTATCATTAGATTACATATAAATGAAAAAATGGAACATTAGAAATATTATTGTTATATAGCTGTTTTAAAGTATATTTCGTTTTATTTAGTATTTTTGGGATTGGGCTATGTATGTATATAGGCAGTAGTTTACATTAGATATAGTCGTATAATTTAATAGTTCTTGAAAGTTATCTACTATATAAGAAAGTATAAAACCAATATTAACTTTATTTAATAGGTTTGTATCTGCTTATAAAGTTCCTGCATGATGATTATGAGATAAAACTCTATAATACTATCTTATAGTTATTCACAGACGAAATACTCTTCACTTGTTTTTTTTTACAACATGAATCTGAAAAAACTTGATTCTTGACAGAAACAGAAATATTACAGATAATTTACTTTCCAAGCAGTTCCACAAGTCACGGACGGTCCACATATATTTTGCATAAGCTAATTTATGTGTGTATGTTCTCGGACGATCCATATTGCGACCGAGCAAATAAGACAAATTTACTTGTTTCAGCTTTTTTCCAGGAAATTGTTTTAACGTATTTTAAAATTGGTAAAATTTGGAAAAAATCCTAATCTGTCAGGTATCATACAAGGCCCACAACGTGTTACAGGAAAGTTTCATTCTATCGCGTGAATGATGTAAAATGGTAACAAATTTAGAAATACAGAACACAGACGATCTAACCTTAGTTTAAAAGTTAACCATTTTCTGTAACACGTTGTATTATCTAACTACAACAGCTATTATTTCTATAGCCGATATAATTAAGTAAGTAAGTAAGTGTTTATCAGATCATTTATTAAGTACCTCATTTTATGGTAGAGTATTTTCTTAAACATCTTTAATTAGAATAAGAAGTTGATTGCAGTTGCGTTCTGAACAATTGACTTCACATATAATAATAATATTTTTTTGGGTAACTTTCAGTTGAAGGAAATCAGCTAATCTCGTATACAGGGAATATTCCAGACTTTGAGGATATAAGCATACCAGATTTGGAGTGCGATAATTCTCAGGAGGCGTGCCAATCCCCATCACCGAGCAGCTCCGTGCTTAACACACCCCAAGTGCAGATCCGATCGCCCTCCTTCACGATAAAACCATGAGATAAGCCTAAAACTAAGAAAAGACGGCACAAGAAAAAACGCTCATCTAAGCAATGAAGATGTATGCTCATATGAGAATGAAGGTACTTTTTGAGTGGACTGACATGAAAACTGATTAGTATAGTTAATTAATAGTTTAAAGATGTAATAACTCCCAAGAAAACATTTTTATCCTTTGTTTTGCTCTTTTTGCTTTGATATTGATAAAAATATAAACTAGGAAAAATATATTTTAACATTTCGACCAGTAACCCTTCTTTTAGTTTGTTGATTCGTGTTGATATTTTATGCAAATTTTTACCAAAAAAATGTAGATATAAGTTATTCATCTACGTCTCAGATAGCCTTAACATAGTTTCGGGTGAAAACTCATATTACCCACATATTTATATTATAGTGTTTGTATATGTCTTTAAGTTCTTGTTTATACTACTATAAGTTAAATGTACAGTTATAAAATTCATTGTTTTTATGAGCTAACGCAATAATCATTCTCAGCGACCATATTACCACTGCTTAGTAAAATTATAAGTTATATATAATTAGAAGCGGCGTTGTTTTTCTAAGCAAGTAGGTACATATTGTTCTGTACAATAAGTTTACTAGTCAGTGGTGAGTAGTCTTTATTATTCTAGTTCTCCAATATACATATATGTAACCACCATAAATTATGGTCGCTTTGAACAATTAACGTTTATTTCACCTGTGATTATTTTGTATGTTTACCAATATTTTGTAAAGTGACAAAAAGTGATTACTAAGTCTAATGAGCAGCTGAAGCTTTTCAATATGTATAAGACTAATAAACTAGATTTACAAGTTGAAATGAAAACAGCAATGTACATGTAGCCCGTTGCTTTGGTGCCTTAATAATTAAAAATCGTTATTTGTAAAAAAAAAGCAAACCTTAAACGGTTTATGTTTCAAATAAAACAAAAGCAATCCAAAACAGGAAATGCTGCAAAATTTTAGACTATTATTAGTTTACTACTTTCAACTATAATTTCGCTACATTCTTTGTGCAATATTATGTACTAAATTTCGTAAATAAAATATCTCCGTTCAAGGCGTTTATTAGATAGCATTTTTTTATTTATTAAAACTTAGCAGTAAAACTGCATTCACGGATTAGAATAAAATGGACAGGGATAGTTATGTACATACATACAAAATTACTTTTATAGATGTATTTATGATTCGCTCATAAAGAGGTATTGTCTGTTACATATAATGTATAAGTAAGTTTTAAGTATATAACAATATAATATTAAAATATTGTTAAATAAGACTTAATTTTAGGTTATAAATTGAACACTTTAGGCACCATCTTAACCTGATGTATCAAACATGTTCGTTCTTGCTTAGAAGGAGGACAACTTTTCGAAACCTCTCGGTTAGTTTCGCTGTGTAGAAAACACAGGCCTGCAAAGCATTGCCTGCTGAATTATTTTATATGTGTAACTCGGTAGAGCTTTTTTACAGAGTTGAAATTACTAAGTTTATTGTTTGGAAGTTTCGAAAAGTAACTTTTTTCCTTTAACAAGGCACATTACACAAATAAACCTCATCGAAACTTGCATTTGTCAACGTTTAAGTAATGAAACTATGCTTACAACTTATATAATTTCAAATATTTTAAAATGTTTGCGTCACTTGCTAGCTATAGCTTACTTAAAAGTTTAACGGAAATTAGTGATATCGTGCTGTACATTTTTATAATTAGGGTCCATATAAGTAAAAAGAAATAAATAAGAATAGGTAAACGACACTGACAAAAGGTCAGCAAACAAACGTTTCTTTAATAGTTGCAAACGAGTCTTGCGACTGAAACAATCCTAGATTGTATTGCGATAAACTTATTTACCTGTTTTTACTTATAACATACCTAATCAATTATAATAATATATATTCATAGTTATTTTTACCATATACCGTTAAAATGTAACTATTTTTTTTTTTGAGTTACAATTATTTTACATTACAGCCATTGTATAATAACATAAAAATGTTTATGAACAAAGTTTGGTAAGATTAATTAAGGTGAATCACAATATCTATGTTAATATAAGTTATTTTTAAATTTAATGTAATAAAATATTGAAATTGAAATGTTTTCTTGTATTTAACTAAAAATGCCCTTTGAGATAGAAAGCAAAGAAAACATCACAACAATAACGCTGTTATGTATGGCGACAAAAAACAGATCAAATAACAACTCATCTCTTTTTTCATATTGGTGGTGTGTCGGCATCGACCCCACAAAAACTACTTGTTGCACCACATCAGTAGACTGGACCTGGAAAATATCTGATGAAACTGTATCTGATTTCTCCTCCCAGCTCTAGTAAGCTTTGGATGCATAATTCTTAAAAACGTCATCTATTCGAGGGTTGTTATTCACCAGTCACTACAACAAGTATTTAGATAGAAACCCTGGATGGCTTGTGCTCTTCTCTGATACCTTTTGCCGTTACCAATTTAGAGTAACCAATTTAGAGCGGCAGTTTTTCAACACGCTGAAATAATAAACTACGTAACGTACTTAACACGTCACACGCCCTCTCAAACATGATCATGTTTGAGAGGGCGTGTGACATGTCGATAGTTCGAGACAGTGCTTTTAGTCCCCAGTACGTCACCCAATTTAAAAAATGATTAATACATATCTGAATTTTTGCCCGTGTGGTGACGGATTAAGAATATACTTAGAGTGCCAGTATGTATTCGACAAAAATTCTGCCGCAAATAGCTTGTCTACCAATGCAAACATGTCGGATACACGATGTTTTGTTTTGCTACAAAAACATTAGTTCATTTTTGCACTATTAATTCCCAATTCCTTATAAAATACAGCTCCATCTCGAATTTGACATGTTTCCTGATAAATGCATGTCGGACAAATAATCACAGGGCGCATAATTGTCAATATGTATAAAAAAGCACTGTCATTCTTTAAGTCAGTCGGATAAAAATGAGGTGCCGGGATCCGAGCCGGGAGCGAGAAAATCGTGGAATTAAATAGATACGATTAAAATCTATCCACAGCCACGCACATGGCTGTGAATAGATGTGCAGTGGCAACGATTTTAGGCGTAATAACTCATCTAGTGTAATGTATTATATCAATGTTCATTTACCTATGCAAGTACGCGATTCCTGGATTATTTTTCTTTCGATCAGTACGGTTTTTACATCATTTCTGTACGCAAAACATGTTGTATATTTATGTTTTCGCCGCGTAACGCGTCTCACTGTCTTGATGTTTGCCAGCGTAATGGCCGATTAATGTGTGAAAGTGTGCGTGCCGGCCTGTACGTACAGCGATCTGGCCGACTATGAGTGATACAGTATGTATGTATGTATGATACAGTTTTGTTAGCGACACCACGGTACTATTATAATACAGTAGTGTAACTCGGCCGCATGGTAGAAATAAATGCCTACAGCCGCGCGGTACGTAAACATGCGTTAGGGCTGCCCGTCTCCAGCATTTTAATTATATTTGCCTACTTTCTGTTTCTATTTAGATTTGTGATTGTAAACATCCTTTTTATATAAATAAATGAAATACTTTGTATATTGAATAGGAAGTGTTCAATAAAAATGCGTGTTGTTTTTTGATTGGTAGATTTAATTATTTTATTTTCTTTCTGCATTGGAGGAGTTCAAGTTTAAATTTTCTTTTTCTTGGAGTGTTGCTAGAGAGACTCGTTGAGCTTTGAGCAAAGATTTCATTTGTTGCATTCAGTCTGTGTACTATTCAGTTCTGGGTACTATTCAGTTTTCAGTCTGTGTACTATTTTCATTTCCTACCAACGGAGCAGTTTGGGTTTGTTTATCTTCTTTTAGAGATACTCCTGGATCAGTACTAGCTAAGCTTGGCAGCATCAACAATGGTAGGGCATTCTTTATTAAATGTTTTCTATTTGATGAATGTAATACATCCTCCAAATTAAAAAGTTTTTCACAAACTTGGTAGGAACTAAAGTTAGGTTTGTTTTCCAAATCATCTCGCCGGATCAGTTGCAACCATTGAAGACGTCTGAAAAAAAAAATACATGTGACACTCTCGGAGACTGCCGCGGTAAAGCTATTGCATAACATTTTTTTTTTCAAGAAAAAATCTGCGTGGTGTCAGGTATTTTTCGTTAGGTTTTGAGAATTTCTTGTTTCGGTCATGCGCCGCGCCGCGCTCAGAGCCGTCGATAAAAGCTAAGCAATAGCTTAAAAATCCTTCTATAGAATAAAAAAATGTGATTTCTCCTTACGCGTTACAAAACTCCAATCCTTAGAAACTCCAACACCTACCTACTCAACTAGAATGCAAGAAACAGTTGACGAGTAAGTAACTTTTTATCTCAGCTTATTAACGTCTCTATAAATTAAGTACCTACCTACAACTCAAAACAAAAATTCTTTGGTCACCAATTAATTAATTATTAAAAAGCTGAACAGCTGACTACGAATGTTTTAAAATCACAACCCTCAAACATCTAAATATTATATATGAGTCTAGCTGTTGTTGTTAATACCGAGAAAATGAAACCAGTTTTTAGTGGTATATGTTGTTATAGTAGCAGCAGAAACACTTTGTGAAAATTTCGAAAACTATCTAATGACACACAGACGGTAAAAAAAAAATTCTAGTATTATTCATACACACAGATAATAAACAAATATTATTAAAAATAAAATACCACGTCTTTACTTTGAATTATGCAAAGTAACAAAACACACATGCACCGAAGTTTTAACACAAGCGTAAGTAGGTAAGTTATACCTACCGTATTATGATCCATTCAGAACCGCATATATTCACTCGTCTCAATAACTTTCCGTTACTCTATTCGCTTTATTTATTAATCCAAACACCTTTTTTTTCGTAAGATAAAAGGAAATACTTATCCATTAAAAATACACACATTATGTACCTACCTACTAGTAAGTAAAATTATTTTATAGTCTTACCTTTCAGAGTTTCCAGGTAATTTAAAAAAACTTATGTCTGGATGCGTTTTTGACGAATTCATACAACCAAAAACAGCACAATATTTCCTACTCGTCATATTAACTGATTTTTAGAGAAAAAATCGCGCGGTTATTGTTAAAAAAACAACACACCGTCCGTTCGACACTGCGGTACAGCCGTGCTGTCTGCGCCCCGAGCGCACCCCGAGATCGAGGCGCGTAGGTATAGCTCGCGTTTCGTCCGTTTGTATGAAGTTGGAGTACTGTATTATAATTGTACCGTGGCGACACTGTATGACTCTTTTTATACGTCTTATTCCAAGAATGTTCTGACGGGAATTTTTCATGTCTATGTTTTCAATTTCGGTATGCGAAAAGGAATTTGTTAAGTAATTCATTATCCAATCTCTAAAGTATTCATATGTGCTGTATAATTTTTTTATATGCACGCATGACTACTTATTACTGTGTCAACACTGAAATAGCACATTTTAACTTTTAAACCATTTGGCAGCTGAGAAATTGTCGGACACAAACATTGACATGTAATACGGCCGGCGTATCTTGGCGAACGTGAACATAGGCTCTGCGAACTTTGGCGCATGTACACTCGTGAAGAAAACTGTTATTGTCTTTTTTTTATACCCTAATGAATTACCCTAATACAGTGACCAATTAGTACAAATTAAATAAACATCAAAAACTTTGGAGACACAAAAGCTACAAAAATAACTTATAAATTAGAGATTCAATTTCGATACCTCACCTTTCGACAGTGGCAGATTTTATCACAAACACACACAATATGATTTACATTTAATAATTTTATATATTTACACTTATTATTATTTAATCACTGTCACTGAGGGGAGAAATCCCTGACATAAAGTCGTCGGCCCCTTGGGTACCATGTGAGGTACTTGGCATAGGTTCATTATCGTAATCGTCGTTCTCACTTTCAAACTCACTTTCCGAATCTGAAGCCGTATTAATAATTAATAATTGTTCCGTCATTTCGTCAATAATATGGTCGCTCTTTCTATATTCAACCTCAACCTCTTTCACTTTTCTGCATTAAGCACTCCATTGTTCCTGACTCATTAAATTTACTTTTTCCCGTATAAGCTCCATTGTCCGGGTTACGTTCCAGTCGACGTTTTTAGTGGCTACGTGCCCTTTAATGGCAGCCCACGCTATCTCGATGGGGTTCAAATCGGGATGATACGGATGAACATTTCGTCTATTACGTATCTTTTATGCACGTCTTTGTTTTTTTTTTATTAGATCGTAAAGTTGTGACTTACGCATGTCCTTTTCATAGGGTATACCCTTTTCTACTAACCACGATTCCATATTTGCTTTCTTGTCATTAGATGTAGGGGCAGGATTCATTAATTTGTTGTGGTATGCAGCATTATCGATAACCACCACCGAGTTAGGGCTCAAATTTGGAATCAGTTGGGTCCGTAACCATTTCTCATAATTTGTGAAATTCATGTCATCATGATAGTCTCCGGTTTTGATTCCAGATTTGAACATTAGTAGGGCGTTCGGAATAAACCCTGCTTCTGACCCAGCGTCACTATCCGCTGATCTTTTGATATCGGGCGCTTTAGTCCTTGAGCGGAACCATCCGACCACGCCTTACCTTTTGTATGTGATGAGTGAGAGAGAGAGGGCATACGACTCGTCAGGGAATACAATTGGTCGCCCTTCATCCCTGTATTTTTTCATTGCCTTCAAGTACAAGATCCTTTTCAGGCGAATTTCGGTCTTCTCTATAGGAACCATTCTATTGGTTTCGGTCTTTCGCCACTTGAAACCCAAATTTTTGACGATTGTCTTTAAGCTCGTTTTAGCACCTCGAAAATTTATATCCCGTTTGAGTTTCGCTAGTAATTTGTTTATGGTCGGCATTTCTTTTTCCGTTTTGTGGAAGTTGTGTATGCATCTTTTTATTACTCCTTGGTTAAAATGATCTATATCAGTAATAGGTTTTGATCTTGACCTTTTTTTACCAGGCGTGCGGAATACCGAAAGTAAGCCCGAAATATTGCCTTCAGTTGCGATCCGCTGTACTGTGCGTTGGGACACACCAGTTGCGTTAGCAACTCTTAAATAAACTTTATCTATATCTTTTACGCCTACTTCTTTTCCTTTTTTCATATAGGTACTGCGTTAAATCGTAAATAATTTTTCTCGCCTGGCGATTTAACACACAATTATGTTTTGTGGCATATTTGGCGTATAATATATAAGTGCCAACAGACACTTGCAAATGACACAAGTAAAACAAACTTAACACTAAACAAAAAAAAAACTTAACAATAATAATAACAATGAACAACAATAACAACGAAAACTTTTGAAACCGACTGTGCTCAAGACCGAGATAGCGACACGAACACGACACCGATGCTAACGTGTGACTGAGACAAAATACTGTACCGAGCATTGCCGAATAAGCACGAAGTAACCAAAAAGGGATGTCCAATACGCGTGCCTGAGGGTGTTGTTTGATCGATATCTATTCAAATCGATTGAAATTAAGTCATGAAAAAAATTTTTTTTTCAATTTTTTAAGGAAGTTTTAAAATTTCTTAAACATTCGTTACTCAAGTAAACATTAATAGATAACTGATATTTAAGTAAATCATGTCTTTCAACTGAGAAAATAAAATTTTATTAGTTTTTTTTTATTAAAGTCGAAATCTCGTTTATTAACTACAAAATTCACTAATATTTGTAAATCTGTTTCGTTTAATATCTTATATAAACAAGAATCAATAACTTCTAATTAAAACTAATCGATTACGATATTTGATTGAATAAAGGGTCGATTGTGTCTCATGCCACCATATTGTTCCTAAAAAAAGTCATTGCGTAGCCATCTGCGCGAAGTTCAGACTCGCCAAGATACGCCGGCCGTATTATACTTGCTTCAGTTACAATAGAAAAAAAAATCAAACATGTACTCGTATCTATCACGAAAAATAACCTCACGAAAATTTTTCGGGCAATATCACCGCTGTATTTTATAAGGAATTAATAGTGCAAAAATGAACTATGTATTTACGGACTGCTATACCAAAGGTCACGGGTTCGATTCCCGCTCAAGTCAAGCATTTGTGTGCATGAACATTTAATGTTTGATTTGGTCTGGGTGTTTCTATGTATAATATGTATGTATTTATGATGAGGTCGAAATTGAAGTGGCTGAACGGCATTCGTTACAGGAATATGATAACGGATTTCTTGTGGCCTCAACTAGACGGCATGAATCTGGACAACATGTGGTTTCAGCAGGAAGGCGCCACATGCCACACCGCGCATGAAACAATCGACTTATTGCAGCAACGATTTCCAGAACACATTATCTCACGAAATTCTGATGTCAACTGGCCACCAAGATCGTGCAATTTAACGCCGTGCGATTTTTTCTTTGGGGTTTTGTGACATCTCGGGTTTATGCGAATAAATCAGAAACAATTCCTGAGCTCAAAATCAGAGATCCAACGCGTCGTCGGTGAGATACAGCAACATTTCTTGGTAAAAGTCATGGTAAATTTCATGAAAGGAGTAATGGCCTGTCGTCAGAGCCGTGGGGGCCATTTGCCGGATATTTAATTCGATACTTAATCGAAACATGTCTTCATTACAATCCAATAAAAATATCACAACTCTTTCATAAAATACGTGTTTTTATTTTAAAATGAAAAAGTGCACTCTTAATGAGACAATCTTTACAATGTTTCTGTGCCAGAATACTCAACGTATGTTGTTAAGAATGGAGAGAGAGACGGTGCCAAAAGTTTTTTTGAGGTCTAGAAATACTGATACTTTACATTAATAACCTCTGTAACATGCAACTTAAAAACGCAAAAATTCGTAGGCAGATGACACAGCTATCGTCTTTACAGAGTCACCCTGGGCTAATGTAACAACTAACACCGAATTTTAATATTATTATTTATGGATGTAACAACAACAATTTTCGTAATGACTGTAGTTGTCCTACATTAAACAAAGTTAAACAAACGAAATATCTAGGCATAGTAATCGAAAGATTGTCCTGGCATAGCCATATTGAACAATTATCAGCGCGGATTAGAAAATTTATTTGGATATCTAAATCCTTAAGACATGTTGTTCCTAAGAATAGTTTTAATGGCTGTAGTTAAAATAACAATATTCACAAGTTTATATACACCGCTTTGGTACAGTCTATCATAGTTTATTGCATCCCCATATGGGGTGGTACTTTCAAAACACACTACCTAGATATAGAAGGAGCACAGCGAGCTCTACGTAAAGTTATGTATTTTAAAAAGAGAGACTTTCCGACTGAGGATTTTTATCGTAAAAGTAACCCTTTATCAGTTTGAAAATTATATATCTTACAAACAACCTTGAAAACCCATAAATCACTTATACATGACCCAAGCATAGTAACTAAGAGAAGATATAATTATTAATCGTTCGTCGTTCACACATAATACTGTCTCAAGCACAACATATATATCCGTAACAATTTGCCGATGATACCTGTCTCGTTGCAGCACACCAGAATGCGCAAAAGGCCGCAGAACTCTTACAGTCCGACTTCGATACAGTTCTACAGTGGTGCCATGATGCCGGTCTGGTGTTGAATGCTGATAAAACCAAACTACTGCATATTAAATCTCCATACCTGGATAAATCTCCATTCAAAGACATACGTGCACACAACCACAACTGCAGTGTTCAGTGATGAAGGCTATTAGGCATCTCAGGGACAACCATTCAGAAGATCTTGCATAAAGCGCTTGGTGTGAGAAACCTAGTTTGTCGTTGGATACCGCATCTGCTTTCCGACGATCACAACGCGGCCCGCGTCAGAAGTGTATGAAAACTCTGCAAAGGTTCAACCGAGGAGAGTCAAATCACGTCTACGACATCATCAGTGGTGACGAATCTTGGATCTATGCCTACGATCCTGATTCCAAACAACAATCTAAAATCTGGGTCTTTCAAGACGAGCCAAAGCCGACTAAAGTTGTTTGTTCTCGAAGCACTTCAAAGAAGATGGTGGCCACGTTCGTGTGAAAAACCGGCAATGTTGCGACTATTGCACTTGAAGATCGTAGAACGGTTTACCACAGTTTGTTAACCGACTTCAAAAACAGGAGGGGTTTTCAATTCGACTGTATTTTTTTATGTTTGTTACCTCAGAACTTTTGACTAGGTGAACCGCTTTTGATGATTCGTTTTTTATTTGAAAGCTGGTGCTTCCCGTGTGATACCATTTCAATTTGGTTCGGTTCTGATAATGGCGTCTATAAGAAAACCATATAAGTCTTAAATTTGCATTAAGTATGTTCGCGACAAACAGATGAATAACTCAATATCACGCAAACCGATTTCGATAAAACTTTTTTTATTGGAATGGATGTACTTTAAGGATACTTTGATGAGAGTTTGGTTAGATTCTGATCATGGGATCCACGACAAAGTAACGGAACTCTTCAATTCTTAGGAGCAAATTAACGATACTCGGCTGAATCTTTTATAGGCTATCCGGATATTTGAGTCACCTACAGTAACGTCGTTATGGTCAAGTAATTGTTATCATCAACAGCCTTTACTAGTCCACTGCTGGACATAGGCCTCTCCTTAGAAAAGAAGTTTTGGCCTACTATACCACATATACATACACACTATACCACACCATATACGGTTTGTTTCAAGTTTTCCTTCTCTTTGCAGTGCTGTTGTCCTGCGTAGTTTGCTCCCTCAGTCGACTGAAAAGGGTTGGTGACATTCTGTGTTCTTAATCCGTCACCACAGGGACAGTAACGTAAGTAATTGTCGTAGTCGAACATAATGATCAATAGAACTCCTTAACGGCTTACAGTAAGGGTGGAATCTGTGGCAATTCTAACTGTCTGTATAAGTTGAAGTGAACGAGTTTCAGGTGTTTCGTTGGATAAGAGATCGTGAATCAATCCGAGTCGGTGAGCACGTTGCTCCTCCGTTTCATTAGATAGACGATCGTAGATTAATCCGAGTAGGTTTGCACGTTGCTCCTCCTTCTCATTAGATAGACGATCGTGGATTAAACCGAAACGGTGGGCACGTTGCTCCTCCGTCTCAGTATATAGACCAGCGGCGTGCACAGGATTATGACACTAGGTATGCGGCGGAGCAGGAAAACAATATAATTTAATCATGTGTACACAACCACACAGCCATACGTTTCATAACTTTTAACATGAAACTTGTGAGTTACATTTCCTTTTTGCTGGTTTAATTGTTGTAACTCGGGTACACACCTACCTTTAGACACAATTTTAATCTTTTCACTGAATGATAATTGTGAGAACTTTTAATTTTTAATATACACACATTTTCCACACATACATCACAATCAAATATTTTTTTTTTTTAAATCAACGGAACTCAGTAATAAACTGTTAAATGTACACACTTTCAAATGTTAAAATGAAAAATAAAAATATAATTATACTGGCGGAAACAAATTAGTAAACAATGCTTATCACATGAAAAATGGCCCCCGCAAACACGGCGGCAACGAACATTTCCGATTACTCCCGACAACCGCCGAACTAACTTCAGTAGCCTGCGGCTGGAGGCGGGGAAATAAAATAAATGGGTGTGTGTTAGGTACAGCGCCGCTTGCTTGTCGGTAAACGCCTGGCAAACATAATGTTTGTGTGCTTGCAAATATGTAGGTGCTATTTTTAAATAGTAGGCTTTTTTAAGTTAATATATTTTGTTTATTCATTTATTTACTATTAATTATAGTCATCTAAAACGTACGAACTGTTACACGGGGCCTTGAATTAGGCTTTTTAAAAAGGAAATAGTAAAGTAATGAACACTTTTAATAAAAAGAATGATTACAAGTAAAATGGAAAAGGCGAGTGTTCAATTTCAGGGTTCGGAAGAGACTGATGCATCCTGGCGGCGCTCTGAGTACTGGGATATCTGATACCCGCCTAGTATCGCTTAGCTCAGCGATGTCCCATACAAAAGGGGTATGTAACAGCCCCCCGGTTAAGAGGAAACTTACCGTAAGGGAAAGTTTCCGGGAAATTACTCCATCCGTAAACGCGGTTGATTTGGAGTTATTCCTATTCGATGTGAGAGTTCTCATCTTGTTCATT